CACTATCTCACTATGTAGACCAGGTTGGCCTTGAACTTGGAGATCCACTTGTCTCTGCCTCCCACGTACTGGGATTAAAGGCATTTGCCACCACTGCCCAGCAAGAATTTTTAATTAAAAAAAAAAGTCCAGACTCTCATGTCCTAGTCTCCATTCCCAGCATCTTAACTTACTTGGAGTAAGTTAAATCCTTTGTTTTCCTTGGCCCTGTTTCCCATGTGAGAAAAAAAAAGAGTAATAATAACCAGGCCTGGACAAGCCAGTAATCCCTGTTCCTTGTGAGGCTGAAGGAAGAGGATCACAAATTGAAGTCCCACCTGGACTAGGATACTTAGTGAGACCTTGTCTCAGAATTTTTTAAGGTGGGGGCAGGGTTAAGAGATGCTGGGAAATTAAGAGCAAGTACTGCTCCTGCAAAGGGCCCAAGTTTGCTCTGCAGCACCCTTATCAGGCAGTTCACAACCACCTATAAATCCAGCCTCAGGTGGATCCCAGGACTTTGGCCTCCATAAACACCTTCACTTGTGAGCGTGCGCATGTGCATACACACACTGAAATAAGCCTCTTTTTCTTTTTTTCTTACTTAAACTTTTTTTTGAGACAGTGTCTCTCAATATAGCTCTGGCTGTTCTGGAACTCACTATGTAGACTAGACTGCCTAGAACAGAGATCCACTTGCCTCTGCCTTCTGAGTGCTGGATTCAAAGGCACCTGCCACCACACCTAGATAAATCTTTTTTTTTTTCCTTAAAAGAGGAGACTAGTGTGAGATGGCTCAGCAGGTAAAGGTGCTTGCTGCCAAGCTTGATGCACTGAGCCTCTGACTTCCACATTCAGGCCATGACATGCATGTGTATACACAGAGATAGATACTAAATAAGTAGGTGAATGGATATAGCTCAGTGGTAGGGGGTTTGCCTATGATGCCTGAGCCCTAGATTTAATCCTCAATGTACACAACACACACTCACACACACAAACACACACACACACACACACACACACACACACACACACACGTAATAAAGCTTGCTTTGTTGTCAGAGGATAATAGAAGGATTTGCAGTAAATGCGCTTAGAATTAAAATGATAGATTTAAGGACAGAGTCAGAATTTAAACCTGTGTTTGTCCTAGTTCAAGGCCCTCATGCTGCTCCCATTGATTGTGTAGGGCCTTATGTGCATTGCTAAAGAAAGTTTGGACTGAATCCCACAAGCAATAGCTAGCACTGAGTTTTTAAAATAAAATGATTTAGATTATTTGGCACATTTTGAAGGTTACTGTATGGAGAAACCGTGGGAATGGGTAAGCAGAGAAAATAGAGAGGCAGAAGATGGAATCTAGGACTGGCTAGCTATCTATTTGGGTGAAGATTCAATAAATATTCTAGTAGCAGCCCCTACTTGAATCTTTTGTCTCAGTTAGGGTTTTTATTTCTGTGATAAAACACCATGACCCATAAGCATCTTGGTGAGGAAAGGGTTTATTTCATCTTACAACTCTCAGGTGCATGCCATCACTTAGGGAAGTGAGGTCAGTAACTGGAAGCAGGAACAGGAGCAGAAGCTGTGAAGGAGTGCTGCTTACTGACTTGCTCCTCCTAGCTTTCTTTTTGTTTTATGGTTTTTTTTTTTCAAGATAGGGTTTCTCTGTATGGTTCTGGCCGTCCAGGAACTGCTCTGTAGACTGGGATGATCTCGAACTCAGAAATCCACCTGCCTCCCAAGTGCTAGGATTAAAGGTGTTGCTTTCTTACACAACTCAGGACCACCTACCCAGGATTGGTACCTCCCACAGTGAGCTGGGTCCTCCCATATCAATCATCAACCAAGAAAATGCCCCAGAGAGGCTGGTCTACGGACCATTCTGGTGAGGGCATTTTCTCAATTGAGATTCCCTCTTCCCAAATGACTCTAGCATGTGTCAAGTTGACATAAAACCAACCAACACCCCTCTGGTTACTAGGACATCACAAGAAAACCCATAGAATCAATTAACCTAGGCTCATAGGGGCCCACAGAGACTGGACCAAGAACCAGGGAGCCTGCATTGGACTGTGGTAGAGTTGTGTAGCTTGGTCTTTATGTGGGACTCATAACAGTGGGACCAGGGGCTGTCTCTGACTGTTTTGCCTTCTTTTGATACCCTTTTTCTTACACTGGGTTAGGGTATCTCATCCAGCCTTAATATGTGTAAGGTGCCTAGTCTTACTGCAACTTGATATGCCATGTTTGGTTGATAGCCATGGGATGCCTGTCCTTTTCTGGAAAGAAGAGGAGTGGATGACGGGGGTGAGGTGGGGTGCAGAGAGCAGAAAGGAGATGGGGGAGGGGCTGGGAGTTGTGGAGGTAGAGGAAACTGCAGTTGGGATGTAAAAGCAGACTAAACAAACAGCCAGCACATCTTTATTAACCAGGAGAACCATCAAAACTCCTCAAGCAGCTTGCATGATCCTTTACTCTCTGGCTCTTGTTTACTGCTCTCAATCCATCACCTTTTCTTCTTGAACTTCAAACAATGTCATGTTCAAGGCAGAAGTGTGTGGATGAACATAAACCCCTACCCACCTTGCCCTCCCTACCCTGTGCTTCCTGGACACAGTCGCCATTTCCCTTGTTTTGTCCCACTTCTCAGCAAAGCACTGAAGCTGCCATCCTCCATCTTGACTCACTATGTTTCCCCATCTACAATGCACACTCTGTGCTGACTACTCAGTCACCATTCTGGCATCTTATTGTAAACTTTCTTTGCCCAAGGAAAACTATTTGCTCTTACAGAAACCTTTCTCTGATGGATTCCCTCCTCCAGAGAGTTGATACTTTGGCACGGAAGCTAAAGCTGTGTGCATACCTAAGCCAGGAGAGACCAGAAAGCTGGGTTCTTTTGTAATGATGGGAAAACAGTCCCAGAGCTCCTGAGGAGCCATATAATTTGTAACTGATGCTCAATCTTGCCTCATAATATACAGACTGTTGGCTTCCACATCCATATGTGTGTTCATGTGTTTGTATGAGTGGACATGTGTGCATGTGTGTGGGATGCCAGTGGAGATTGTCCAAGTTGTCATCCTCAATTCTTCACCACCTTTTTTTTGAGTCAGAGTCTCTCACTGAGCCTGGAGTTCAACAACTCAGTTTGATTGGATAGCTAGCAAGTTTGAGGGATCTATCTACCTGTCTCTACAGATATGTGCTGTCATACCTTTAACATGGCCTCTGAAGAGGTCCTGATGCTTGTGCAGCAAGCATGTTTAAATGAACCATCTCCCCAGTCTTTCCATGCCGTTCTTTTCTCCAAGCTAAGAACACTTTAACTTTAAGCAGGAAGGAACCTAGCAAAGCAGTGAGTATTTCTCAAGACTCCCTTCCCAATATTCCACATATGCAGTCTCCTTCATTACTTGGTGTTCCAGAAAAATACTCTCCATCAAAAAAAAAAATTGGAAAAAGGCTGGGCGTTGGTGGCGCACGCCTTTAATCCCAGCACTTGGGAGGCAGAGGCAGGCGGATCTCTGTGAGTTCGAGGCCAGCCTGGTCTCCAGAGCCAGTGCCAGGATAGGCTCCAAAGCTACACAGAGAAACCCTGTCTCGAACCCCCCCCCCAAAAAAAAATACTCTCCATAACCCTGCCATTGCTCACTCCTCCCTCAGGACCTTTAGTTGCCCAAAATGGGGCAAATATTCCCACTCTGGCTGGCCTGCCTCCTTTTGAGACCTTAAGCAGTTTTGAGAGGGCCAGTTCCTATATATGGCCACCAGGTGGCTCTTCTCAATACTTAGGATCCCAAGAGCCTCACAGGAGCTTCCCACCTGGGGAGCTAGCAATTAGAAACTGTTTCTTTTGTTGTTTGAATCTGTCTGTTACAAGCTTCTTAGAGAAGAAAGCTGATCATATGTATGGTGCCTAGGCTCACTTGTCCTGTTGTGTTCAACAGTTTATTAGGAAAACACTATCTTCTAGATAGTGAGGTCAGAAAATTTTGGTTTAATATTATGATAATCTGTTCCCTGCAGGACTGAGAAGGAGAATGGGCACTCAGGTAAGGGTGGAATGAAGATCTCTTTTCCTTACCTAGGTAGGGTGCTCCACTGCTGGCCACTGGCTCATTCAAACCAAGGTTCTCTGAACTTGGGAGACCATTTGTGCAAGTTCCACAGCCTTTGAGCTCAACTGTCTCATCAGTAAAACACTCACCACATCTGTCTCTCAAGTTAAACAAATACATATGAAAGTGATTTGAAAATATATAACCCTGTGCCAGAATTTTATTGTATCTTAATCTCACTGTTAGACTACCTTCCAGAATGAGAATGGATACACGTAATGAGCAAATCACAACAATCATAAAAGATCAGGGCTTTTGAACTATGTTAAGGACAATACTAGAAGATAGCAAGTTCCAAATGACTAAACAGAGATTACTCTGTAGCTGAGCATGATGGGAAACACCTATAACCTCAATGCTTAGGAGATCAAGGAGTGCAAGGCCACCCTTGGCTATACAGTGAGTTTGAGGTAGGCCTGTGCTACATGAGGCCCCATCTCAAAGTAAATAAATAATAAAAAGGAAAAGCTAGGCGGTGGTGGTGCATGCTTTTAATTCCAGCACTCATGAGGCAGAGGCAGGTGGTTGTCTGTGAGTTTGAGGCCAGCCTGGTCTACAAAGTGAGTTCCAGGAGAGCCAGGAGAAACCCTGTCTTGAAAACAAAATAAAACAAAACAATCTCCATAGACTTTTCAAGAAAAAAATCCTGTTACTTGACATAAAATTGGAAGACAAAAACTGCTTCAAACTCAGAAGAAAAAATAATCATTGGGATTTTGAATTATTACCATGCCATCTTACAACTTTAAATGCTTACATTTTGTGATTGATTCACTTTATTTTAAAATACTGTCTGTCCCAAGCAAATCAGATAGTTTTCTGAGTACTCAATGTAAAGAAAAGTAGGCTATGAGGTCTGGATTTTTCAAGGCAGCACTCTTCTTTATGTGACAGACCCTGGATAATCTGAAGGAAGGGAAGCACCACCTCCGTGTGCGGCCTGCGGACATTCCCGTTGCTGAGAGAGCCTCTCTGAACTACTGGCGGACATGGAAGTGCATCAGCAAGCCCTCTGAATTTCCAATAAAAAGCCCAGCATTCACAGGTATAACCATTGGTAGGCCCCACACTGTGAAGTCACTAGCTGCCTCTCTCTTTACCCCAACAGACGTTAACCTCCATTTGAGATAGTTCTGGATGATGTCTCTATTTCTCAGTCAGCTCTTTTGACCTAGTACTGGCCACCTGTCCTCTGCATGGCTTCTGGCATACTGGAACTCAACACCCCGAGTCATTCCATTCCACTGCATCTCAGATACATTTAGGCTAAAGGATGTTTTCCAATCTCTCCTAAAAATTAAGGCTCTGTCAACATTTCAAATTAACTCCAGCCACCATACAAAGGTGCCCAAGTGATCTCAGGCTTTTAAGTCCCTTGCAGTATATAGGCTAACCTATGGTGGGACATCAGGAATCCATGATTATTAATGGGGTTTAGGCTTCCAGAGGAGTCAAAGCATTTATTTAATCTGTAGTTCACAGAAGTTGGTTTGATCAATTAGAAAGACCATGGATGAGTGGGATACCTTGATCAGCCTTGACACAGTGGGGAGGGGCTTGGTCCTGCCTCAACTTGGTATACAGACTTTGTTGACTCCCTAAGGAAGACCTTACCCCCTCTGAGGAGTGAATGGGGGCGGTGGGAAGGAAGTTGAGGGGCTGGCGAAGGGGAGGGAGGGGGAACTGGGGTTGGTATGTAAAATGAAAAAAATTTTTTTAAATAATAAAAAAGAAAGACCACAGAGGGGCTAAAAAATGACTCAGCATTAAGAGTACTTGCTGCTATTGATGAGGACCCAGCACCAACAGGGCATCTCACAACAGTCTTAACTCCAGTTCCAGAGAATCTGATGCCCTGGTCTAGCCTTTATATGGTACACATATATACATATACATACAAAATATTCACACATACAGATAAAAATAAATCTCAAAGAAGAGACATGGCCGGGCATTGGTGTCGCACACCTTTAATCCCAGCACTCGGGAGGCAGAGGCAGGCAGATCTCTGTGAGTTCGAGGCCTGGTCTCCAGAGTGAGTGCCAGGATAGGCTCCAAAGCTACACAGAGAAACCCTGTCTCAAAAAAACTGGAAAAAAAGAGAAGAGACATGGATAACCGAATTTAGTGACTTTGGGTACATGTGCCAAAATGTCATATCATTCAGTATCTGTTCACTGTCTGTATAACAAACAAAAAAATATACAAAAACAGATTTTACATGCCTAGTTTCCCAGAACACTACTTCTTAGCCTTAAGTATACATCTGAAAAGAGAAAAAGAGGAAAGAAGCATATGACAGAGACTGTCCCTTGGGTGGTCCCCAACTCCTCTGGGACCGCTGGGTCAATGAGAGCATTGGCCACCTCTTGGGGAGGTGGTGACACCTGTTCCTTCTCTTCTAGGTCTACATGATAAGGCACCTTTGGGACTCATGGACACACCACTGTTAGACACAGAAGAGGAAGTGCACTACTGCTTCCTGCCCCTCGACCTGGTAGCCAAGTACCCAAGCCTAGTGACAGAAGACAACCTGCTGTGGCTGGCTGAAACAGTGGCCCTCATCGAGTGCGAGTGCAGCGAGTTCCGCTTCATTGGTGATTTCTCTGTCTAGGGATAGCACTTACCCTTCCCACACCCATAGTCACATCTGTCAGAGTCCATTTGTTGCTACAGCCTGAGGACCTTTTCTAAGCAATGCTTGTAGAAATGTGATACTCTTCCAAGAGGCAAGCAGAGTCCATCATTAGGTTCTCCCTTAGCTCAGAGCTTTTTTGTTTTGTTTTGTTTTTTTAAACAAGGTCTCTCTATGTAGTCCTGGCTGTCCTGGAACTTACTATGTAGACTAGGCTGGCCTCAAACTCACAGAGATCCACCTGCCTCTGCCTCCTGAGTGCTGAGATTAAAGGCCTGTGCCACCATGCCCAGTCTAGCTCAGAGCTATTTTAGCTCCTATTTCTTTTGTGATGGCCTATCTATAAAGGGGCACTGCAACTTCCTAAAAGTAGTGTTAAGGACCACAGGAGTTGATGGTAAGGACACCAGTTGCCTCTTATACTTTGCTTCTAGATAGCTGTAGGCCTCAGCTGCTCTCACCATATGGCAAGGAAATAGGGTTGTTTCAAAGATCCTACCTACCCTGCCTTCCATTATACTTGGAGTGCAAAGAAGGGGGTGAATGACGACTGTTTCTCTAGAATCATATAGAGTGTGCAGCTTAAGCTAAGGAGCGATGAGATCTCTCATCCTGCCCAGAAGGAGCCTCCCTTCCCACACTGCCCCAGGACTCGCTTTGCTGGCCTGTGAACTGAATAGCCTCTCTGCTATCTAGATAACCAGAGAAGTAGACAAACACCTAAAAGTACAGGACAATAAACACTAAGTTAGGTCAGGGACCCAAATGCTTGAGGTCTAGCTATCCAGATTCAAAGTCACCTAGGAAGTTGTTTGTGCTGTGCTTCTGAATCGCTGAGTTGATTCACACAGAGACTTAGTGTTGGTTCTCTGCCTACCACACTGCAACCCAGCAGGGACAGACTGCAAGCACCACCTGGCAGCCCAGGCTCAGCCAGGCCTCTCCTCTCTAACAAGACAACTCCCTCTTTTGGAATGACCTGCTCTTGGGTCAAGACTCTCAGGGTAAGTCTCAAGGCCTTTTGTTCACAAAGAGGGCCTGGGAGTGCCAGGCCAGGCCAGGCTAGGGGCGGCAACACCCATGGACTCACACACAGGAAAACAAAGCATTCTGGGGTCTTTGAAAACCACTGCCTCAAAGCAAACCTAATCAGGTATGTTTAGCAATTGTTTCCAAACAAGGGAAGCCTAACATAAGATGAAGCACTAAAAATCTGCCAGGTCATGGACAGATTAGTCATGAATAAGCTTCGTTAACTGCTGTTGTTTCTCTTTGCTTTTCAAGTGAATTTTCTCCGATCCCATAAGATTTTACTACCAGATAACTTCTCCAATATAGATGTGTTAGAAGCAGAAGTAGAAATTCTGGAAATCCCTGAGCTTACAGAAGCTGTACGGCTGTACCGGATGAATATAGGTATGTTGCTGGGGAATGTTGGCTTCCCCTTGATAGTCTAGAACAGTATGGGCTTGAGCTACAAAAGCCAAGAGCAAACATCTCCCCTTACAGCCACTTTGGACTTGGGTGATAGTGAGACACAGGTGTTGTGACTGACAGAATCTGAGAAAAGGAATTTGGCTTAAAACCCTGTATGCCCTCTCTATTCAGCATTGCACCCAAAGCCAGGGCAAAAGGGAGGCCTGCTTAGCCTGGAGCAGGAGGTGCCCACCCTGGGTGGGAAACCAGGCTGCAATGTCCTGAGAAGCAGGCTGGGCCTGAGGACAAGCTTCCTAGGCAGGTGCTGTCTGTTCCTCTGTGGAAATCCTAGGCTTCCACTTGCAACTAGCATCTTTCCTCTTCCAGGAACAGCTGAAGAAGAAATGACTAGGCATATTTTCTACCAGTTCTTCAGTTACCCCTTGCCCAATGTCCCTTCCCCTCACCTACCTCATTGCACATTTTTTTTTTTTTTTTTACTTCTCTGCCTGCTTCTGCTTCTTCCTAACATTTCCTGACCCTTGGCCAGGTCAGACCTTTGTGCTCCTGGTTTTGTCTCATTCCAGCTGTTCCTCTTCACAGTTTTGATTGGCCTTTCATCAAGCTCATACTGCACATCCATGGAAACGATCATGTATGCTTCAGGAAGCTAGCTTCATGGGTGGCAGCAGACACACTCACAGGGGGGATAAGGGGGAGCAGCTGACATTTTGAGAATTATAGAACCTTTTCAAATTACAGAGCTACCAAAACAACAACAAAAGTAAGGAACTATCTTACACATGTGAAGTTTGGCCTGGTTGTATGGTTGGTTGTCCCATGGAATGAGGCTCAGCCTTTTCCCAGGCTAATGGAATGTCCTTTCTGTATGGGAGGAGTGGCATCTTGCAGCAAGTATCAGGAACCTGTGCCAGGACCCCCTAGTTTACTAAGAGGAATGTTAGTTCAGCTCCTTTCCCAACAGCTTCTGGTTCTCAGAAAGCATGGATGTTGTGATATGGGGAGAGTGTCACAGGCCAAGGTTCTTTCATAGCCCTTGGAAGGGGACACAGCTCAAACTCTGAAGTTACTGGTAATTGTCCCTAAACCACAATGTCAGGCAGAGCACAGAATACACTTGGTTCATCTGCAGACTGCTGATGTGGCTACTCTGAAGACTGGAGATAAGACAAGACAAACCTCCAGCAGGAGGCTGAGGAACATTGTAGCGCACACCTGTAATCCCAGCACCTGGGAGACAGGCAAGAGGACCACAAGCTTGAGAACAGCCGGTGTATATAGTGATCCTACTTCAAAAAGAAAAAAATGAAAACTCCTAGAAGCTAGTCAGCTGGCTCAGTGTTCCTACTATGTCAGCTCTCAAGAGTTTTAGCCTATAAACTTATACACCAAGTTCTACTGATGTTAGAGTGGTCCAAATTTGGACTGTGTAAGCAAACAACTGCCATCTCACCACTTAAGCCCCAACTGGGGTAGCAGGGGGACCCACAGTGTTCATACAATTTAGGTATGATCAAAGATCTAGGAGTCACCCCTTTCTCCCTAACACAGGTGGTTGTTCGCGGACCTCCTGTCCTCCTCCAAGCCCTGGGAAGGGGGGGCGCACAGCTAGTCTGGAGTCTGTGAAACCGTTGTACATGATGGCACTGGGCCTTCTGGTCAAGTACCCAGACTCTGCACTGGGACAGCTTCGCATTGAGAGCACGCTGGACGGAAGCAGACTGTACATCACAGGGAATGGGGTCCTCTTCCAGCACGTCAAGTAAGTCCCAGGCTCTCTCAGGGAATCACGTGGTCCCAACAGACCGGGCGCTGTCCATCTTGGGACATCTTGGAATGTCCTTATCTTGGGACACAACCTTAAGCCTTTCCCATGAGCTAAAGGAGAACAGTGTCTTTGGGATACCTCACTATTTTACCCGTTTCACTACCATCACTACCAGGTTTGGGCCTCTGAGGATCAGGCTGAGACCAATTTTCAAAGCTCTCCATGATTCAAAGTCTCTGGGTGTTCAATTTTTCTGTTTTCTGTCATTCATCTCCCTGTGCTAGGTCTGAGGTTACCAGGCTACAGTCATATCTTTGGAGTCCAGGACACCCTGAGGAAACCTCTTTGCAAATAAAGGTTCTCTCCAGTCTTAGGAGGGTTTCTAGAGCCCAGGGTGATCACCTGAGAAACAAAGCAGGACAGGTTTCCCAGAGGATGTAGTCCCTTGAGAAATGAGCTCAGAATGCCCCTGTTAGTGCCAGGGCATGGATTACTTTACATTTCTATAGAAGGTTTCTAAAAAGGAACAACTCGTTGTTAGTGTTACAAAATTCATTAGTACTGAAGATAGGAGTGCGTATTCCCAGTTCTCTGGGGAAAGGGTTAACTGACCTAATTGTGTCATTTTAGAACCTTTAGGCCTATAGTTTTAGACCATATCTCCCAGACATGTCCACTTATAATGTCACAGAAGGCAAATACAAGTGCTTTTGAAGGAGGGTTGGACTTGAAGATTGATGTTCATATCTTAGTCTCTTTCTAGATACAAAGGATGTTAGTAATCTCTCAAAGCCATAGTAGGCAGCCATACTATGGACCACAGTCTCCAGCAGATACTTATGTAAGAAGACAAGAAGGAAGTGGCTGGGTTTTGGCCTAGCTCATGTTCTAAGGCTTGAATTGAATGGTTTTGGTTGGCCTTGCTGAAATAGGTCTGAAGAGGTGAGCTTATGTCTAGGCTTATTCTCTTTTAAAAGAATCACTAAGTTAAAGCAAGAAAATGATTCTTCTGGTGCCACATTAGGAAGCACTGTGACAAGACACCCTGATCACAGGAGGTTTACAGGCTAGACTCCTTTAAGGTATAGTACTACGGTGCTTCATAACAGGCTTTCCTCTGGGCAGGAACTGGCTGGGCACTTGCCGGCTGCCCCTGACTGAGACCATCTCTGAGGTGTATGAGCTTTGTGCCTTCCTGGACAAGAGGGACATCACCTATGAGCCAATGAAAGTGGCTCTGAAGACTCATCTGGAGCCGAGGACTTTGCCACCCACGGATATGCTCAGTAAATTTTTACTTTATTGTGCTCAAACACAATAAAGCTTCTGTGCTTGGAATTAGCATCAAGGGAGGGGCTAGAGACTAGAGAGGAAAGGAGAGGAGGGCCAGAACCAAGAAGTGTAAATGGAAGAGAAAGGAGAGGTAGGCTGAACTTTGATGTTACATGTCCTCTCCTCACCTTCAGTTCCACAGTATATCTCAGAATTACAAACAGGGGTGCTGTGTCTGGGGCTGCACAGATCCCCAAGAGCATGCCTGCCCTAGTCCCAGGAGCTAATATGAGCTGCCATTTGTTCTCCCAGTCAGTCAGGAAGAAATGGGTTCATGCATCCACTTAGAATGGAGCAGAGGCACCAGGACGAATTTGTTCAAATTAAAATTACACAGTGGTCAAACTAGGATCTAACTTAGTTCAATGCAATGCTGTTTTAGTTAATGAACTCTTTTTTTGAGACAAGGTATCTCTATGTAGGTCTGGCTGTCCTGAAACCTACCAAGTAGATCAGGCTAGCTTCAAACTCGCAAAGACCCACCTGCCTCTACCTCCAAAGTGCTGGAATTGGTGTGTGACACTATGCCCAGCTTGCTAATAAACTCTTAGTAACAAGTTTTTATGTAAAGTTTAAGCTGTATTTCTATCACTCAGCAACACTCAACATTTATTGAGCACCACCATATACCAGGACAGGAATAGACATTGAAAGACAGGAATAGACAACAAAAGTCAGTAACTGGGGTTCAGTTTCTATCTTCTGGAGTTTATAGCCTAATTCTGTACAAAAACAGGGCTCCTAGCTCCATCCTGAGTGGGCACATGAAAAGCTGCACACCTAGGACATTACCAGCCACAGACCAGAGAGATCTGGCAGTGTAGATGGACAGGAGCAGCATCCTCGCTTGCTTGAGGAAGACAAGTCAATGGAAGAAGGAACAGGGCCTTTGGAATTAGAATGCCTTTGGCTTTCCTCCTCACCCAAGACAGCAGTTGACTCTCAGAGCTGCCATTCCAAGTCGATCTCACTCTTCTTGAAGCATGTGAGCAGCAGAGGTTTGCGTCCAAGGTTTTTGTTTCTCAGATAGGCAAGACAATATGAGTTTTGAGAGTATGGAGCCTTATCATGCAAACACTTTTGACCAAAGTGCCCTACTAGTTTTCCTTCTGGCCATATGATGGGTTCCCTCTCATTGATTTCCATAGATGAGGAGTGGACAGCAGGGATCACTATATATTCACCCCAACAGATCATCAAGCTTTATGTTGGAAGCCACTGGTATGCAACCACCCTGCAGACCCTGATGAAGGTACTGCTAGACCCAGCTGCTCTCCCACTTTGGCTTCCCTACCTGAACATCTTTTGTACTTGTCACATGATCTTCACACAGCCTCCAGTACTCCTTAGCATAAGAACCTTTCCCCAGCTTTCTTGCTCTGATTCTTGGGTAGAAATGTGATGAGCAGCATGTTTGGAAGGCTTCAGGAATGTGGGTAGAGAAGAGGCTGGTTCTCAGGGGTCTGTACCAAGGAGGAGGTAGGATTGAGTTCCAAAGGCCAGGAGTAGGTAGGGGAACTACCAGAAATTGAAGCAGAGGCAATGTGCTTCTCTCTAAATTCTCTCCACTTTGTATCCCTATGACCAATATAGGGATATGGAAATCCCCAAATCTGATACTTTGTAAAATCTGAGACCTTGGGACTGATTCTGATGTCTAACCCTGTCCTCTAGTATCCAGAACTGCTATCCAACACTCAAAGAGTATACTGGATCACCTACGGACAGACCTTACTCATCCATGGTGATGGCCAAATGTTCCGACACATTCTCAACTTCCTGAGACTTGGAAAACTGTTTTTACCATCAGAATTTAAGTAAGCAAACCCAGGGAACAAGACTGTGAGACCACTAAGGCTGAATCTCTCTACAGCAAAGAGAACCCTTTGGAGGAGGTCCTGTTATTTTCAACATGGGCATTACTGTTCAAGGCAGCTTCTTTAGGGGCTCTTGTCTTCCCCCACCCTAAGTCTACCATCTCCTTGTCATTTTCAGAGAATGGCCTCTCTTCTGCCAGGAGGTGGAGGAATATCATATCCCAGCCCTCTCGGAAGCCCTTGCACAGTGTGAGGCATACAAGTAAGCAAACTGCACTCTGAACCCCATATTTGGAAACTAGACCTCTACAGAGTCCTCTTAGGAATGTCCTCACCTGCCAGTAAGACTTCCTCTCCTCAAAGCTGAGGGAGGAGGTTGGTGAAATGGGTTCAGTATCAGCCAGTGCCCTATGCAAAGTCCTTTAAAGGTCCCCTTTTCCCTCACTGTCTATAATTACTAATTCCCAGACAACGGACAAGCCTGGCCAAATAGCTGATGGAAGCTTCCTCTCACTAACCAATCCTTCTTGATCTCTATAGGTCATGGACTCAGGAAAAAGAATCGGAAAATGAGGAAGCTTTTCCTATTAGGAAGCTGCATGTGGTGACAGAAGGGACAGGGTCAATGGTTGAGTTCAGTAGAGATGCCAAGGAAGTAAGTCCAGTTCTCTTTGGTTGGTCAAACATCACCAATACAGGGCTCAAGGGACAGGCCCAGCTACTGAGGCCTGTCCCTTGTTACTAGTACAAGAGCTGATTTCTGAACCTTTAGGAGGCATAGAAGAGTGCTAGCCACTTGTGGCCTGGGATGATAATCTCTCCTTTGGGAATACAAAAGTTGCCTGGGCTGGTACCACTGCCTCACAGACTGAGTAAATGTAAATGGTGATCATTCTCAGAGGATAAGATTGTTCTGGGTGAACAGGTTGTCTTAAAGCCCAGCTTATCAGGTTTTGGGGAGACTTTGATAATGTTCAACAGGCCCATAACTACTGTGCTCTCCCTCCCCAGACCACAACCTGCATGCCTGTGGACTTCCAAGACTGCAATGACAGGACTCCATGGAACAAGGCCAAAGGGAACCTGACCAGATCCACCCAGATGGAAGAGGCTGAACAGTATACCCGGACTATCCAGGTCTCCTTATGCAGAAATGCCAAGAGGGGAGGCAATCCCAGCACATACTCACACTGTTCTGGCTTATGTGCCAACCCCAGACACTGGGGAGGTCATTCTGAGAGTCCTCCCAAGAAGAAGTGCACCACTATAAACCTCACACAGAAATCTGATGCCAAAGACCCTCCTGTCACCCCCATGCAAAAACTGATATCTCTGGTAAGGGAATGGGACATGGTCAACTGTAAACAGTGGGAATTCCAGCCACTGACAGCCTCCCGGAGCAGCTCTTTGGAGGAAGCTACCCTGCATGTCCCCTCAGGAAGTGAGGCTGCTTGCCAACCTGGTACCTCAGCTTCCTGGAAAGCTCATTCCATAACCTCAGAGAAGGACACTGGTCCCCAGACTGGGCCTGGAGCTGGAGTGAAAGACAAGGGTCCAGAGCCAACCTTTAAGCCATACTTTCCCACAAAAAGAGCTGTCACCCTAAAGGACTGGGGCAAGCAGAGGCCCAAGGAGAGAGGTGAGTCTTGACCCATCTTTGAACCAAGTCTCATTTTCAGCAGATTTCCTAGCTAAGAGCACAGAGAGGATAAGTGACAGAGCAGGAACCAAAACTTCCTAGTCACTGATGCCAGCTCTGTGCCAGCAGCACATACAGAGATTAATGTCACATAAGGTGAATTGATGAGCATTTTGTGAAAGGTGAAAGGAGAACCCAGGAAATAGGAACACAAGAGGCCCGTCACCGGAGAGCCAGCAGGGAGAGAACATTAGGGTGTATGTGGAAGCACAGGACACTGCTTTAGCTGAAAGCCTGGTTTCCAGTGCACAAGCCGTCAAAATGGCACCAGAGACAGGAGACATTAGGCTAGGTCTTGTGGGCCAAGTTCAGAATGTGGTGCTCTGTTCTGACCTTAATTGGGATGGACAACCCCTGAAGGATTTTTTTTTTTTAAGGGGAGCACATCGATCAGGTGTATGATTCTTAAGTTTGCTCAGGGAAAGAGGAAGTGTGGTCATAGGAGGCAAAGTATCAGCAGCATAGTTGCATTCCAGACTAAGTAAAGGGGGCTGAGCAGTAGAGGAAGGCAGGAAGATAGAGGTGCCAAGAGGCCAGGTATCTAGGTTGCCTATGGCAACTGGAAGGGTCCTTATTGAAGTGGATGAACAAAAGAAACTAGACCTCTGAGAAAAGCACACATGACATGTGAGATGCTAAGGCCCATCCAGGAAGGCCTATGGGGACTGACTTAAGACAATTTGTGGCCAGCAGTGAGGAGAAACCCCAGGGGAGTTTGCTGAGAAGGGCCATGCTAGATTATTCCTTCCATCTCCAGAACTCCCTCCTATGGTACTCTGGTACTCTTATCACCTTCCCTTCTAGTAACCTGGGCCCTGCTTAGAGGTGCCTTTGTGGACTCTGTGACTCTTAAGTTTGCTTTTAAACCTTTGGGGTAACAATCCTATTCTTCCAGAATAGAGAAAGGTCTGCCCAGAAAGGTCTGAACACTTTAGTTTTTATAGCTTCAAAGTCTTCCACTGGTTATATTTGATACTAGTCTTTTTATTTATTTTTATTTTACATCCTGGTTGCAGTTTCCCCTCCTTCCTCTCCTCCTATTTCCTCCTCTCCCCTCACCAATCCACTCCTACTCCACTCTGTTTAGGAAAGGGCAAGTCTCCCATGAGGATACTAACTAGTCTTAGCTTGAAGTTTCTTAGAGTTCTGAAACTTAGGATTGGGTTTACAACAATACCAGGGCAACAAAGCAGTCAAGCCAGGGTACCACTTCCAAAAAGACTTCTGAAGTTTTGAGTGAATGAATGTACTGATTGTCACCAGAAGACTCCTCTCTGCTTGGATTCCAAGCCTAAGCTCCCAAACCTAAGAAGAATCTCTTCTATTGTTTTCACAGAAAACCCTGCCCCTGAGCAGCCTCTGCCTAATGTTAATGGGATAGACAACCCAGGGGCCATCCTCAAAGTGACTCACCCCCCTGTGGTGGGTAGTGATGGCTCTTGCATGTTCTTTGAAGACAGCATCATCTACACCACCCAGATGGATAATATCAAGCATACACCACTCACAGCCAGCCCCCAACCTCGAGGTAAGGCTTTGGAGCCATGCCTGGCCCTGTACTCCGCTTGTGAAAATGTGGAGCCCACACTCAGCATTTAAGCGCTCTACACTTCTCTCTGCCTTGTGGTTGTCTCTAAGGCCTCGGCTATGAGCAGCTTTAGCCATATCTACTCTTTCTCCTTCACAGAAGTGACTTTCCTGAGTTTCTCTTTGTCCTGGGAAGAGATGTTTTATGCCCAGAAATGTCACCGTTTCCTGACTGACATCATCCTAGATTCCATCAGGCAAAAGGACCCCAAAGCTGTCACAGCCAAGGTGGTCTCCCTGGCCTACCGGCTATGGGTATGTATGACAGGCCTTGGGGTACTCTGCTTCTTCTCCACGTATCCCCTTGCCCTTGCAATAAGTAGTATAAGACAAGAGGATGAGCCGGGTTGTGGGGGCACATGCCTTTAATCTCAGCACTTGGGAGGCAGAGGCAGGTGGATCTCTGTGAGTTAGAGGCTAGCCTGGTCTACAGAGTGAGTTCCAGGACAGCTAGGGCTGTTACACAGAGAAATTCTGTCTTGAAAACCAAAAAAAAAAAAAGAAAAAAAAGGATGAGGGGAAGAAGCCAGGGACAAAAGAGTAGCTGGGAAGAAATAAGAATGCAGAATCTGGGAGCTGGTCATGGCCCTGCCTGACTGTAGACTCTCTTGGTAGACATTGAACATCAGCCCCAAGCAGTTTGTGGTGGATTTGCTGGCCATCACTGGCTTCAAGGATGACCGACACACTCAGGAGCGTCTGTACAGCTGGGTAGAGGTGAGGCCTATCTAGGGAATGGCAACTCTGTGAATATGGATACTGTTGCTGCCAGGCCAGTACTGTCATCTAGAAAGCTAGCCAGCTAAGTAAGTGGTCTCTGGTTCCATGGAGGTAGATGGCTGAAATTAACCAATCAAGACTAGTCAAACAGCAACATTTAGGAAGCCTGTTTTTATAGTTTTCATCTAATGACACCAACTATGCCTTCACCACTAACAACCCTGGCCAACTTGGAAAGCACCTGGACATGGGTTAGGCTTTTACAGTCAGTAATAGCTAGTTCCCCTACTTCCCTATGATATCACTATTTTTTTATACTTATGCTCCTCTACAGAATTTTTTAGGATTTATTTTATATGTATGAGTGTTTTGCCTGCATGAATGTTTGTGTACCATGTGCATGCAGTACACTCAGAGGCCAGAAGAAGGCGATGGACCCTTGGAAACTGGAGTTACAATTGTCAGCTACCATGTGGATGTTGGGAACCAAACCTCAGTTCTCTGCTAGAGCACCAAGTGCTCTTAACCACAGAGCAATCTTCCTAGCCCCTAAAGAATTTTCGGGGTCTTGGGAGAGGGCTGAGATAGGTCTTCCTATGTATCCCTGGTTGTCCTAAAGCTCACGATGTAGGTCAGGCTGACCTCAAACTCACAGAGGACAGCCTGCCTCTTCCTCCCAGTGCTGGGATTAAAGGCCTACGGTACCATGCTTGACTAAAAACATTTAAAGAAAGAAAACAAAAGGGCAAAAGAATGGCCTAGGTTTGAGAGTCTCCCTACCCCCATTTATTCTGTTTTTGCTACAGGTCATTGAACCCAGGCAAGTACTCATATTCCAGCTGCCTCCTTTTTATAGCTTGAGACACAGCTTAGCTACACTGTCAACTTGGGCATTTTAATTTTTGTTTCTTTTTTGATTCTGTAGAATAATTTCAGCATTATAGGTGTGAAAGATTTAGCAAATTCTCAGTAACCTGGCTTTTTATAACCAAGTAAATAATGATAATGACATTCACCTTAAACACATGACTGCCCCATTACTGGTAGGTCTCTAGCTTGTGTGTTATTTCTAAAGGTAAAGTCAGCATCTACAGCTAGAAAGAGGAAACAAGCATCAGGAAGCACATTTTTTACTGTCATTGTGGTCAGTTCTCTGGTAGCCAGAGCCCTGTGAGACGCTTTAGGACAGAACTGAACCCCAGAGTACCAAAGGTCCCCTATAATGCGGCTTTCTCTTTGTTTTCCCCTACCCAGATGAGGGAGCCCCCCCCCCACATCATGCCCTCACAGAGCTAGAATAGGTAACTGGCCTAGAAACCAGGGATAAAATAGGTCTTTCCTTGCAGCTCACACTACCTTTTGCCAGAAAATATGGCCGTTGCGTGGACCTGCTCATCCAGAGGGGACTGTCTAGGTCTGTCTCTTACTCAGTCCTGGGCAAGTATTTACAAGAGGGCTAGAACACCCAGAGATGTTGGCCCTACAGACCACCACTTGCCCAAGGATCATTTTAACTGTGGAAATCCAGAATGTACATACCCAACCAATGATACGAATCACTCTATTTATTATTATAAACAAATAAAAGAGTAAATCACAAGACAAATGCCTAGACTCCTTCTCTGATAAGACTTGAGTGTAAGTGACCAGTGAAACCAGTAGATAAGTCTAACTGAAAGTTGTGCAAGAAGCATCAAGTCAAAATGACCAAGCTGGCCCCCAAAAAACAAGAAGCTGGAAACAAGGAGCCAAGGAATTCAAGAATAAGGGACTAGAAACCAGTATTAAGTTCAAGGGTTGAGGAACAGCTGCTGGGAACCCACTTGTGTCCCTCATGACTTCTGAGAGCTCCATAATACTCAACTAGCCTAGAGTTTGGAAATACTCAACTTCTACCCCATCCTATCCTTAACTTAAAATTGGGCTGGTAGCTGGAGTGGATAGAAGTATCCCAGGAGCTTGGTGCTTATCTAGGCTTTGTAGCCAGATGCCCTTGGAAAGGCCCTAGGTCAGTCAGTTGGTGGTTATAGACATCAGAGAGGATAATCAACAAGGCTATTCCTATTGGGTATGAAGGGTGGGAAGGGGGACAGCCCAGGAGCCAGCCATGCACTGTTATAGTAGATTCAGAGGTATGGTATTCCTTGGAGATCTGGCTGTGTTGTATCTATTGTTCATCTTCAAGCCGGACTCAAACCTATGGTGTCAAGTCAAGCATGAATGTTTAGATTATCTAGTTTTAGAGAACTAGTAGTAGACCCACCCATTTCCAGCTCCCCTAGAGAAAAGGCAACTATAGCCCAGGGTAGGTTAGGAAGAGACTGGTGGACATAAGGCAAAAAAATTGCACTCACACATGACAAGTCCTCAAGGCCTCTGCCCAGGGTCTGCCCTGACACACAGCTGCTGTCAGAACCACTAGAGCCACTGGCTGATGGGCACTGGGAAGAGACCTCTGAGTCCTCAGGAGCTAGGGAAGAGGATTGGGTTGTCAGCAAGGGAGGCCCAGACCCAAGCTATGCCTCCTACCTCTAAGCCCACACATACTTAAAGACTGGCTGCCCATCTCTGCCTCAGCTTCCAGTGCTGCTTCCTCTGGGAAGTTGGGTGGATACAGGGACCAGTGAACACCCATAAGAGCTGGATCTCTGTACAGGTGCAGATTGAGAGACCCCAGAACAGAACAAGAAGCACGGTCTCCAGGAAGGGAGCCCAAGGCACCCAGATAGGGGTTGTCATAGTCAAATGGTGCCACAGCAATGGAGGCCCTAGAGCGAACATCTGTGTAAGAAAGAGGGGCAGATCAGAGCCCAGTCTGGCCTGAGGTAGCCAGGGAAGCACAGGCCAGGAGTGACAATAGGCCACATTGCCTCCTCACTCCCAGCCCCTGTAGGATGCCTACTACCTCGTCTCTTTAGGACATAGTTGATGCTGCGGTCATTGATGGCTTGTTCGCTGGGGGCAATGTCCCAGAAGGCCTTGTTCCCCACACCCATGGATGCCATCTCAGCCATGCGCACCTCTAAGTAGAAAATAAGGCATAAGTGACACACCCTGAGCTGTATCTATTGAGTTTTTCTTATATATCCTTATCCGAGAAATTAACCATTCAATGCCATGATCTTTCCTGGTGCCAGACTCTGTTTTCAACCACCCCTGGGAAAGTTACCATAATGTCCCTTTTAGGCATAAGACCTCTGATACTCAGAGGTTCTTTCCTCTGCGCTGTCTGCTGCTGCTGCTGCACCCCCTCCCCTCTCTCTCTTCCCAAGCTTTTCCAAGTCTCTAGACATCCCAGTCTCTGGCAGTGTACACTCTAGAAGCCTTACTCTCTCTCCCCAGAGTAAGGACCCTAAACCCTTCTCAGGCTCATAGGACATATAATCTTTGGGCTTGAACAAGGACTTACCCTTGTTGTGGACAGCCTGCCTCCAGAGCAGGCGAGAGATATCAGCTGTCCAGGCTTGTTTGGTGGCCACATTGGAGGCCTGCAGCACAAACAGGTCCCTGGCCTTTCGACGACGGAACCAGATCTCAAAGCGCAGTTTGCTCTCCCCACAGCATTCAGTGAGGCCAAGGTCTGCCATCTACATGGCCAGGGGAAAGGAGTTTGGTGAGGCATAGATGGGGGACTAGAGGCAGAGGTCAGGGTCATGTGAACTTACTTTGAAGGAACGCTTGTAGGTAAATATGTCAACACCTGCAGGCCCACGACGAGGCTTGCTGAAGAGCAACAGCTCCTCAAAGAGAAAAACACGACGACAGCACTTGTGGCGCCCAGTCCGCACAGTGAACTCATCCTGTCTTACCAACTGCCCCTGTTCCTTGAGGTTAACCTGCAAAGTTGAAGCCCAGTACATGTCTAGCCACTCCCACCCCCTCCCCTTCTATATCCAAGGTGCTTCCCCACGTGGCCTGGGATGACTCACGTCACAGCCCTGGATGGCATCCATGGCTAGCAGGTCATTGCCATGTCTGAGCTGGAAGTGCACAAGGCTCTGGGCTGCCTGAAGGGCACCCAGCTCTTGTGCCGGGCCCCCACAGGCCCTTGCCAGCTCCTGCAGTAGTAAGGCGTATTTGCTCATGCGCTGGATGGGCTTTAGTAGGTAGGAAGCCAAATCCAGGTGGTCTCCCAGTGCTTGCTGCTTCTCCTGCCACATAAGTGGGAGATTACAAAGCGGTTTTGGAGTATGCCACCCATCCCCTGCTCTTCCTGTAATCACAGACTCCTACCTTGAAGAAGGTGTGACCATAGCTGCTCATCAGGGCATCAGAACGAGGTTTATTCTTGCTGTAGAGTGCATACATCCCAAACTGCACCCTCTACAAGGACACATGGCTCAGCCCAGGTACCAGGGGAATGGTTCCCAAAAGATGTCCCCCGCCTCAGTCATACCGCTCTCCTAGCCAGTAAGATGCCAGCAAGTGGCTTCAGGGCAAGGAACTTCTCCCTACCCCTGCAGATCCCACTTGGAATGAGTATAATCTGGCAAGAACCAATGCTGTGCAAGAGCTGTCCAGGCTCCACAGACAGCTCTGCCCCTCCCAAGGTTCTGAGACTATCACTTTTGTTCACTATACCCAGCCAAGTTCATGATATCTTCTTTTCTGGGGTTGGAACTCGCTCTCTGCTCCTCCTCTGGCCTCTACTCAAACATCGTCTCTTTTACACTGGGAACTCTGCCCAAATGTAATTCATAGGCAATTTTTCTGTTTATTCCCATCCTAAGTATAATCTAGAATGATCTTTACTTGTACATCTCTCCTACTTAACTGAAAACACCCTAAGAAGCAGGTATTTTTGTGGGTCTCACTCAGAGCTGTACCCTGGTAGCAGTTTGCTTTCCCCCACAGTACTCAGTGAGGCATAGAACTCTCTGCATAGAACCTGGCACTAAGTGTGTGTCTAGAAGCACTCTAGGGCTCATGTGACTTATGGAACTTACATGGCGCAGGAAGGCATAAGCCACTCGAGGTGGGTGTCGGGTGCAAGCCTCTAGCTCACGCAGGAAGAAATGATAGTGGAAATCCCGAAGTTTTTCAAGGTTGCCAAAGAGGTGGGCACGCTGGCCACGGAGGCCCTGGGGCACATCAGGTCGATCTAGCTCAGGGAAGTAGTTCTGCATGGTATAGTCAAGGGCCCGGACATACTCATGCTCTGTGGCCACCATCTCCGCCAATACTAGCTGCAGCCTATGAGGTAGGTGGAGTCAGAACCCAAGACCCTCCACTGACCTCCCTACCCTGCCCTCTGCCTATACCTGTTGGGGTTCCTGAAGTCAGAGCTGCCTGATAGGGGCACAGAAGGGGATGACCTGGGACGGACACCTCCAGTCTCAGGTCTGTAAGAGTCAGTAACAGCTGCTGCAAAATGGCCATGATGGGCAGCATCACTAAGACGCTGCCCCAGATTCCGATCAAAGCTGTAGGCCTTTCTCAGTGGAGGAATGGTGGGTGTGGCAGGGGCCCGTCTGACACACAAGGTAGCTGTACTGTTTGTTGGTGGTTTCAGTGCAGCCTCAAGCTTCTGATCCAGAGCTAGCCAGGTGTCCTGGCACTGTGCCCAGGCCCAGCGACATTCCTGGCGGATGCCTTCTGAACGTAGGCCTGTGGCAAGAGCCCACATTTTCCTGAAGTGGGCCGGGGGCAGGTCAGGATGTCTGGTCCAATGCAGCTGCAGCCGCTGCAGTACAACCCCTGGGAGCTCCTGCTCCAGCTCTGTCAGTACCCGCTGTCCCTCCTCAGTCCATGTTGTGGCCTGCAACACCAAGGCCACAGAGCCATGAAAGCAGGACCCCAGCAAGGCTGCAGTGACTTCTGCTGTGCTCCCTGCCCCACCCACTGGCTGGCCTGGGGAGGCTGGTCCCAGACTACAATCTAGAAGTTGAATGTTGGAATAGGGCTGAAAGCAAGACAAGAGAATAGAAAGCCAAACAGATGCATGCAGACTCTAGTGGAGCTTGGGCAACCTCCACACAACCAGGGAAAGGACCCCCTCAGCCACCTGCTTAAAGAACTGAAACAGCTTCTCAGCATCTGCCAACCGTTGACGGCGCTGGGCCAAAGCTCTGGAAAATTCTGTCAGCTGGGATCTCAGAGTTAGAAAGTGCTTTCCAAGGGGGCCCAGTTCAGCAGCTTCCCAGCCAACCAGTGGCTGCAATAACTTCTCCCCTTGCTTGATCTGTTCCTGGAGAGACAGATGGGCTCAGCTGGGGATCCAGCCCAGACTTAGATCCTTCCTCTGGCATCTACACGTCATCTCCCTCATACAGATTTCCTCTATCCACTCCAGCCCCTCTCCCCATCATTCTCTCTCCCTCTCCCCCCTCTCAGGCCTTCTGAGTCTGCACCTCAGCAGTACTCAACACTCTCTCCTGGGCTCTGTCTCTCTCTATGGTTCTTCCTGCTCTTCCTTACCTGGCTCCTGAGGACAGTGCATTCTCTCCTTCCAAATAATCTCATGTGACCAAACCCCAAATAACATCCACACCCATGACCAACGGATGACCCTCTCTCTAAGACTCCAGGCCAAAACTCAGAGTCCTTCCTCATTCCCTGAGAGTCATTTCAAAATCACAGCTAAGACTGGACATATGAAGGCTTTCCACCAAAATGCTCTGATCCCCTGGGTCCTCTCATTCTCTCATATGATTGATTTATCAAGTCCTACAGACTTCCAAATCCATCTTTACTACCATCTTAGTCAGACAAAATATTACAGTTGGCCCTCCATATTTTCCAGGATCCATATGTGTGGGTTCCACATTCATAGATTTAAGTAGCTCTGATTTAAAAGTATTTGAGAGAAAATTATGTTTGTGTGAACATATTAAGACTCTTTATAATTATTCTCCAAACATATAACCTAACAACTATTTACATAGCATCTACACTATGCTAATCAACAAATTATTATAAAGTATGAAAGGGTATCTGTTGGTTATCTGCAAATACTATAGCGCTTTATGTCAGGAACCTGAGCATTCACATATTTAGGTATCCGAGGTACGTACTGGAACGAATATAATCCCCCACAGACACTCAGAGACAAATATGTGTCCCACTGTGACCACTACAGTAACATCTAAACTGGATTTCCTACATCCATTTTACCCAGAAACCAAGGCTGTCCTCCTAGAATATGGATCTCATTATAGAACTTCATAAGCTTTTACCGGTGTCAGTCCTCTATTTGCACTTCATGTCACCTCATCCCACTTTCCTCCTGCTACAAGACTTTTTTTTCTTTTGTTTTAAGATAGGGTCTCTCTAAGTAGCCCTGGTATAGCAATCCTCATGCCTCTGCTTCTCATGTGCTAAAGGCATGCATCATCACACCTGGCTTTCTGCCACAGGATTTCTGAACTATTTCCCAGCCTTGATTGTCTCTCCACCCCTCTTTTTTTCCCAGTTAATCCCAAACTATTCCCCCATGCTGCTTCTATCTAGAGTTCTTATCTTTGCACATATATATGACTACGAACTGTTGATTACAACTGATCTCTGCTGAATGGTAACCTCCAAGGGAGAAAGAATTGTTTGCCTTCACTCATGCCCAAATCCTAGTCCCTGGCAAGGTACCCCAGTCCCTGCAGAATGAACAAGTAACCAAACTTACCTGGGCAACCTGGTCTAGCTCTTGAAAAGGGCCTTGGGCCTGGAGCAGCAAGTCCAGTGAGGGCTCCTCTGGTTCCTCCAGTCCTGGCCAGCCCACCTCCTGTAACCACACTTCAATCTGATGGACACAAGTAGGGGAGAGCAGTGACAGCTGCTATGGACGGAGTTATAGCTAAAACCAAGGGCAGGATGCACTCTGGATAAGTAGTTCCCACCTGGCGCAGCCCATCCTCCTGGGCTTCCAGCGTTTGAAGGAGCTCTAGGGCCTGTACTCGATGGTTGCTCTGCAGAGTTAGCTGATGCAACAGCCCATCCACTTGACCATAGAGCTCATCAGCCTTGTCTACTGCAGACCTGTGAAAAGCATACAGTCCCCTTTTTCCACTCTAATGTGCTGGGACTCAGATCTATCATGTGCTGATCCAGATATGGGAAGCTGAGCTGGGGTAAGGTCTGGTAGCTGGGCTTCTTTCTACCTGTTATCAGGGCTCAGGGTCACCTCTGGCATCCCTTGCTTCAGCCATGCCAGCTCCAGGCTTCCCTGGCTTTGCAACCATGACAACTGCGGCGAATCTAACACCTGCTGCATGAGGGATTGCACCTGCTGTAGCAGCTGACCAACTTCCTGTAATTGAGAGCAACAGACATTAGTGAACATGGAAGAGGAAAAGGAAGTTGGGGAGCATTCAAGGAGATTAGGAGGGCGACACTCACTCCAGACTCCATTGGTTGCTGCATAGCCTTCATACTGTCAATGACCCCCTGGATCAGGGCACAAGTCTCCTGACAATTCTGCTGTAGAGTTTCTAGACGCTGTGAGCAGACAAGAACATGAGCAATGTGCAGGGATGATGCTCCCAGCTTCCAGGATTCCAGACCACTGTAGCCAGTTTTCCACAGGCCCAGGTTACCTGAATAACCATAACCTTCCAACCCCACCTGGTGCACTGACCATCCGGAAATCCAGCCAGGCTTGGTGGCTGTAAGGCAGGCATCCTCCCAGTGAAGTAGGCAATGCCACATCAGGAATGTGGGCCAGTAGGCTCTGATGAGAGGACAGCTGCTTGAACTGCAGAAGGAGAAGGTGTGATACAGGGATATATGGACAAAGACCCCCACCTCCATCCTAGCCAAACTGGCTTGGTACCTGAAGCCCTGTAGGCATTTCCTCTGGCATCTTTCCAACTAGCAGCAGTTGCTGCACAGATCCTGGGGCTGCTTCCTGCAAGGAATCCAACTTCAGCTCTACCCTGGACTTCACAGAAAACGAATGGAAGGGAGTCATAATCCTCTACTTACTTGTAGCTGGCTGAGGCCCCAGATGAGAGAAGAGCTCGGGGAACAAATTCGGGCATCAACTAGTATGGTCAGTCCCAGAGCCTGTACTTCGGACCTAAATGGTGAATTTTGTTTTAATACCTGATTCACAGATCATAGCACCTCATGGTTCAGGCTTAGCCCTGCGACTTTCTCCCTCAAACCTGGGAATGCCTCGCAGGTAGAACAGAAGATTCAGAAGTTCATAGCTATTGCACTTGGGATGAAGCCAAGCTGGGCTGTGGGCACACAGAAGCAGCACTGCTCGACCTTCTACATCACGTGTCCCTGTGGAAAGCAGAAAATTAACACTGGCAATCAGACCACCCTTCCTCTACCTCATCTAAATCCTTCTAGCTACCTGGTAGGGAAGCCATGCCACTGGCCAGTAGCTCCCAGGTGATGTCTTGAGCTAGGAGGCAGTCAGCAGGCTGGAAGCTGGAACCACTAGGGTCTTGAGAAGAGAAATGGCTTGGGTCTGAATGGGGCCAATTTCCCAGGGACCTCCATGGACTAGGGCTTCAGTCTGAGTAAGGTCAAAGACCTCCCAAACGTCAGTGTCCATCTCCAGATAGCCCCATTCCCTTCCCAGATTTCCCAATCTCCCTTACCTGCCTCCAGTAGCTTTGAAGACATCTCTGATAAAGGGCTAACACCAGCTGGCCGTGCTTTGCCTGGACCTGGATCCCCTATCAAGCCTCCCCCTTGGTTGTCACTCTGTGTCAGGCTGAGGTGAGAGGACATAGGATACAAGAGGCTTTCCACTTCAGAGAAGGGTGGCTCCTCTGACTGGACTGGGGGGCCTCCTAATAAGCTCCCCTGGCAGTCCCCTGCCCCATTTGCAGCCCTTTGCTCTGGAAGTGATTCAGGCTTCTTGGACAAGGAATCTCCTTGGGTTGCCCCTACTGCTAGTGTTGAAGGTCTGGGGTCCATAGCCTGGATCTGGTGAGCAGGTTTCTTCTCCTTGTGGGTGTTCCTGAAACTGCACACAGCAAACCTCCTATCTGCATCAGGGTCCTGGGAATCTGGGGACACATCTGCACCCTCAAGAGGCCCTTCCATCACTCTCTGGTAAGAGTGGGCTGCTCTGGGCAAGTGGGTAAGGGGTTAGGCCTTGATGTGAAAGGAGACCAGCTCTTCCAGGAACTGTTTTGAAAATGGTGGAGCAAGAGTCTGAGGGCAGGCAAGCCGGGAGCACTAGGCGTAGGAAGTACTAGGCTAGGTCCCAGGTCCCAGGAAGCGGTGCCGCTAAACTCGTCCAGCCTGGGGAGGGAAGACACAGAGTCTCTTTGATGCCTAGGGCCAGGTCATGTTCCCATGAGCCTCTACCGGGTGGCCCTACCTCCGTACACACCTTCACGCCGGGCTTAGCAGGCCGCGCTTTGCTTCAGCCCGCCCAGCTAAGCCCTGGCCTAGTCGCCTGTACCAGCGCTCCTGGTCCCTGAAGGGTACCTGCACACTCACACCCCTGGGACACGGGGTGGGGACCTGTGAAGCCTGAGAGACCACGCTGCCCTCGAACAAACGAAGAACAAACGCACCACAGCCTCGACGACGGTACTGCGAGGTCGCCAGGCATCCGAGGGCGCCACCTTCTGGCGGCTGGAAGGGACCATAAGGCCGCTGGGGACGCGGCGCCCTCTAGGGACTGGAGGACCGAATCACAGCTCAGCGGGTTCGTTCTAAAGGCAGGAGCTCAGACAGCTGCAGTAGAGAAGAGCTTGGCCGGCGCTGCCTCCTGATCCCTGGGGCGGGTGCGGTGGGCTCTTGTTCACTCAGCGCCTCGGGCACTTGGCGCGCCCTCCCTTGACGTTGTATTGAGCGGATCGTGGCAGTGCCCATAGGCCACTCCTCTGTGCCCACTGCCTGACCTCCCCAGAGCTGAAACTGTCTGAAAGGATGAGTGAGCTGCAGTGCTGCTAGATGGAAAGAAGGCTCACAGCAAAGGACGCTCTTGTGGGAGGAGGAAAAGGCTCCTCACCAGTCCTCTGCTGGGGCATGGGAATACTTGCCTAGCTTCCCTTTACAATATGAGGACAGCTCAGCGCTCGCAGCCCCCAAATCTGACTCAAAAAAGACATGTGGGGCCAGGTTTAGGGGAGGCCCTAGAGAGACTCCCTAAACCACCCCAAGTAGCCAGTGGCTTGTGGAATATCTTCAGGGAGAGTGGGAGGGAGCTCTCCTCTGTAGCCTGCCATATCCCCTTCAGGTACTCAGGTCCACCCACCACAAAACAAGTTGGATGGGCTGTGGGGTGTAACTCTGTGGTAGAGCCCTTGCCTGGCTTGTATGAGCCTCTGTTCAATTAATAAAAAACAAAGAAAATTTCAAGAAATAAATTGTGCGATTCCATGACTGGATGCTGCTGCTTGTTAAACCAGAATGTAGAGGGGCTAGTGAACTGGGTGGGAACTGACCCAGGCCTGCCAAAATCTGTGAGGCCCAACCCCTCCACCTCCTTGAGTTCCCTGAATTCTCTTTCCCTATTCACAGAAAAGAGGGGCTGAGGAAGGTGGGGCCCTGGAGCCAGAGACCATCTGGGACCTGGTTCTATCACTCACCTGTTGTGGGTTCCTCCACGGACTCTTTTCTCTTTGCACCTCATCTTCCTCTTCTGTAAAACAAGAATGCCATTCTTTTCTCCTGGGCTTGTCAGATAGACCAGGGAAGGCCTGATGTGTCAGATGTCTGTGTTCATGCCCAGCTTTCTTCTTTTACCCTTAGGGGTTCTTGAACTGATGAAAGACACCCAGGTAGCTGGGAGATTCCTCCTTGCTCTCAGCTCTGAGGTCTGAATTCCTTTTGGAGCAAGTGCGCCTGGCCTAGCACTTTTGAATTTGTGGGGAGATTGTAAGAAGGTTGGCTATGTGACCAGAAGAAGGCACCTAGCCTCACACCATGCCCTTGGTCCCTGGGAGGAAAGGACACTGGACATGCTTTCCCTGGCTCTAAGACAGGCGGATCCTTCATGCATCTAGGTATTAGCTGCAACCATGGTAGAAACAACAGCAGTTCCCCTGTCCATCTCAGACTCTTAGGCAGATTCTGAAGAGCAAAGGAACAGGGCTGGCTTTGGAGTTGTCCTACTCTGGTCCCCGCCCCCCAACCATGCCTTTTGTCCCTCCTTCCTCTAGTTTCAGGGAGCATTGGGTCCAGTCTTGGCTTCTGTCCTTGGTTCTTGTCCCAGGCCACCCCCACTGAGTCATTGCCTCCCCGTCCCTCTCTTCCCTCTCCTCCCTCTCCACTCTGAGGCTCACCTCCACCCACCAGCCAGGCCCCCAGGAGCTGTAAGAAGTAGAGGGACCTTCTGGCAGGTACATACCCCGTCAGAGTGATGGAAGCAAATAAGAGGCATCAGGCATAGGTAGGCCCTAGCTAACCTGGGCCCATGGAGCACAGCAGGCAGTTGGGGGAGGGCACACATGCTGAGATAGAGGCAGGACTAGGCTGTGGCTTTCCCATTCCACATAGAATGTGCCCTGTAAGCAGACTGTATGCTGTCCACTTTCATACTTCTAGCTCTGCACTTCAGACCTGGCACAGAATTAATATTTAGGGGTATCTAAGACTAGTCACAATGCCCCTACCGCCCTGAACTGTCCATCTGTGGGTCATGTGGAAACCAGAGTTAGAGAAAGTCACTGATAGAGACAGACCCAGACAGAAGAGGCAGAGGGCTGTACGACAAACAAATCTGGGATGGTAAAGGCACAAACAGAAACAGGGACAGACACTGGCCTAGTGGGGGACATTGGGGGACTAGGCCTAGAGCCAACCTGGGGTGGCTGACCACAGCAGGCTTTGTGGGCTGAGCTTGCAAGTCTGAACCGTGACTCATGGAAGCCATCTCTGGTTCTGCTGGCTGCTGAAGCCTTTTCCACTGAGATCGTCAAATGTGGACAGGCCCCTCCCCTGCTCCTTCACTAGTCCTCTCCTGACTGTCTTTTCTTCACACATGACCAATTTTTTTAAAAAAAAGTAAAAAGAAAGAAAAAAGTGACCTCTGGGCTTTGTTAGGCTTGGGGATACAGGAGCAATACCATAATTACTTAAATTCTGGTTACCCTTCTTCAGTGCGACTGTAAACAGCAAAGACAACCTCAGACCCCTCTCATCTTTGACCTAAATAACCCCTTTCTTGGCTCCTTAGTATGGCATTCAAGTTCCCCAGAGGCATCACTTTTTACCTAACTCCCAGACCACTCTTGGAAACGCAGCTGACTAAGTCTTTTGTTTCATGCTACTTTCTCTGATTTTGAAGACCCTCATCATCCTCAAAATCCTTCCTTTTAGCCTGGTGCTGTGGTACATGCCTCTTCACCTACTTGAGATAAAAAGGCTGGAAGATCACAAGTTCAAGGCTAGCCTGCTCTACATAAGTAAAAAAGTTCCAGGCAAGACAGTAAGACAGAGCTTCATAACAAGGTCCTGTCAGTAAGACAGAGCTTTATAACAAGGTCCTTTTTTTTTTTTTTTTTTTTTTTTTTTTAGATGGAGGGAAGCTGGGGAGATAGCTCTGTGGGTAATGTGTTTGCCTTACAAGCATAAGGCTCTGAGTTTGATCCTCAGGGCTTTTTTTTTTTTAAAGCTAAACATAGTAGCACACACTTGTAATTTTTGCTGAGGAGGCAGAGACAGGCAGATCCTGTGGCTCACTAGCTAGTCAGCCCAGCCTAGTTAGCAAGCTCCAGGCTCATGAGAGACCTATGTTAATTCAAAGTGGATAGCTATTAAACACACACACACACACACACACACACACACACACACACACACACACACACACACACACACACTTTCCTCTTTAAGGCCTAGATCCAACAGTCCTCTCCATACATCCCAAGTAGCATAACCACCCATGTCATTTTGTTCAGTCAAGTGGACAAACTCTTGACTTGCTTGCTCCTACAGAGCAAATGCCTGGCACCTTTTCCCACTTTCCAAGATGTGCTCCCTAGCTTTTTGGGCCTAGAGAGATCTGCTAAATCAAAACTCTTGGAGTAGGTGGGCATAGTGGCACATGCCTTTAATCCCAGCACTGGGGTGGGGAGGGTGCAGGCAGGCAGATCTGTGAGTTTGAGGCCAGCATGGTCTACATATCAAGTTTCAGGCTAGTTAGGGTTACATAGTGAGAGCTTGGCTCCAAAAATCAGACACTTTGGAGTAGGCTCAGGAATCTCCATGCTTGGGCCAGCTCCCCAGTTATCCTGACACTAAAAAGCAGTGGAAACAATTGCCTATTGTTTCGTCCTCTTCACCTACTGTGCTGCTGAAGTAGCCTCCGGAGTGCCCCTCCATCTCTAGCTTCCCTTTCTTGGAATCCACTACTTAAGCTTCCACAATCTACTACTCTTCCTATCCCCCTTCTTCCCAGAATTCAAAGAGCCACAGCATTCTCCACGCATCTTTGCCTTGCAGAATAAACACGATAAAGTAAAAACTTACCATTTGTTCCCACAGAGCCAGGGCTAGGACAATTCCTTCCCATTTTAATCCTACCTGTAATCTTATGAGATACTAAATATAATTGTTAACCCTTGTTATTGTTGTTTTGTTTATGGGACATGATTTCACTGTGTACCTCTCGATAGCCTGGGATTTTTTATGTAGACCCGGCTGGCCTCAACTCCACAGGGATCCACCTTCTTCCACATCCCCAGTGTTGGGATTAAAGGCATTTTGCCACTACACATTGCTTCAACCATCCTATTATAGAAGAGAAAACCAAGTCTCAAAAAGCTTAGGGTAACAGGCCCCGATGATATAGATAGTAACAGCTAGGATTGACTCCGGATTGTTAAGTACTTTAATTAACTATCAAGCCCTATCAACCAGCTGTTAGCAAACTTGAATATAAAGCTGTCACTCTTCCTTCTCTACCTTTTTCTCATGCACAGAAAAAAAAAAAAAAGTTGACCAAGCCTGTGGGTTTTTGATGTGTTCCAAGGTCCTCAGACTCAGAGACATGAAAAGTGGGCTAGAGAATGCCTATGGATGTGTGGTGGGTGGGATGAGGGGAGATGTCAGTACAGAACTTCATGGGGGAATGATGAAAATGTTCTATTCTTATATCATGAGAAGGTTTGTACAACTATGTGAATATACTAAAAACTGGGGCTGGAGAAGACTCAGTGGTTGAAGCACTTGTTGCTCTTCCAGAGGACCAGAGTTTGATTCCCAGCACCCACACCAGGTGTACAAACACATGCAACTCAAGCTCCAGGTGACCCAGTGCCTCTGGCTTCTGAGGGTACCTGCACTCATGTACATACCTACATGCAGACACACATACCTACACACAATTATAACAAAAATAAACCTTGGTTTGAGACAGTCTCTCTATGTAGCCCTGGTTGTCTCTGGATTTGCCACATAGACCAGGATGGCTTTGAACCCATAGACATGGACCTGCCTTTGTCTCTTGAATGCTGGGATTAAAGATATGCACCACCATACCCAGCAAAAATAAATATTAAAAACAAAACAAACAAATTTAACTGTACATTTTAAACAAGTGAATTTTATGGTGTTTATTCTCAAAGATGTTTTAAAAAAAAATCTTCAGGCACATTAGGAATTAGACTGGGGGAATGCTGTTATCCACAGATTTCAGGACCCATACTGCTTTGATTTGTCTTATAAATTCTCAGGGTGGTCAACTCCCTGGAGCTTGACTTCCTACCTGTCATATGAGGAGAGCCACTTGTTCACTTGGCTCACACCTGTCCTTAAACTGTCCTAGAAATGTCTCTATGGTACCCTTGGATAGTTTAGACTGTGACCTCCAGGGTGTTCTTCCTGCTGTCCTTTCCCATTTTGTGGACTCCCAGTTCTGAGACACCTTCTTCCCCAACCCATACAGTGGTCCCCTAGATTGCCACTCCATGCCTCCTGTTAGAAAAGTACTTACGAGGACCAGAGGGACTAAGAGCTTTGTCTAAAAACTCCCCTACTATTCTCTACTCCTGAAAATCTTGGAACAGGCAGATCCTTCTTGTCCCACCCCTGAAAGCCTGAGACAAATGGACAGAGGACACTCATCCATCTAAGAGATATTTAATGTATCTTGGGTTTAAGGTACAAAACACAAGGCAGGGGCTAACCCCAGGAAAGCCACCTGTTACTCAGTCAACTGTCCCCAAACATTGCAGCCAGGCATCCTAGCCCCCTATAGTAACAGTGCAGTGGCCCTGGGATACCTGGTTCCTTTTCCCTTTGGGAAATTTTGAGGTGGAGACATAGGAGCCCAGAGGCCTCTTTGTTTCCTACTCAGAAATCTCAGATCCAAGTCTCAGAACATTCCTGACTCACGCCTAGAGTAGCTGACTGGCTAAAAAGCAGCTCTGACCTAAAGCCTGGCCCAGGGCCTAGTCCTAGAAAAGGAGGCACCATTACCTCAATGTCTGGCAGCAAAGGGAAAGGGCTAAAACAAAATGTGGAGGCAGACTCCCACTACTCCTGAAGCTGACCCAACTCATTAGTTGAGCCAAAGGCTGAGGCCTGAGCTACATCCTACCCCTGTTATTCTGAGGACCAGCCCCTCATAAAGCCTCATTGCCAGAGCACTGATCCTGACCTGATGCTGGGGGGTAGAGGAAGGTTAGGGGAGACCAGTGTCCACAGAAGAATGACACCCTTGCTTTGGGGGCAAGAACAGCTGCCAACAGTAAGTCCAGGAAGACACCCTAGAGAAGGGACATAAGCTTGTGGATCTATCCCCTAGAACTCTGGACTGGATCCTGAGCCATTTTTTGAAATGGAAAGTGGAAAGGGTTAAGAGCAGGGAGAGTGGTAAGAAGGGTCCCTGTGAGGACCAGCCCAGGAAACCCTTCTGACCAATCCCAAGGAGGCCCAGTTGCCACTTCAGTCCAGGCCCCCATGGCCCCATACTAGGCTGTATAGGCTCCTCTGCCCATTGCCTGAGGAATACTCCCCACAGGGGCTCTACATCCTGCTCTTCCCTGAGGCCCTGGGCTACAGCCGCCCCCCCCTGTTGAACTGGATGCACCAGTGGGAGTTGGCAGTGCCTGGACTAAGATGAGTGTGGTCCTTGTGGCCCATGAGGGGCTGCAGCTCCTGCTGCTGGGGAATGTCAGCACTGCTCTCACTTCGAGAACGGCCAGCTTTGGCCAGGCTTGGGGGGAAGGCGAAGCTAGAACGAGGGTCAGAAGACATGTCAAGAGGAACCTGGGTCTCTTCCATACCCAGTGGGTGGGGAGGCAAGCGGGTTAAAGTAGGAGGCTGGGTACAGGGAGGGGAGGCCAGGCTCTCCAGGGATGAGATGCTCTGGTTCCAGCCTGTCTGCATGTCCACGGGTACAATCTTAGTTGTCTCTGAAGACACATATACAGCCAGGTCTCCCTGCCCACTCTTCCAGGGTAACTCCTTCTCCGCACAGGTTGGGGAGGGAGGGATGATGCGTGGGCTCGGGCACACCTCAAGGCTTCCTGGAAACACAGACAGAGTACACATGAGCTCATTATCAGTGAAGCGGGATCCTCAAGGGCACTCAAGGTCACCATATTACACTCATCTGTGCTATACTCAATAAATCTTCCTGGAAGAGAGCACCAGACTGCTTTGCTTTCTCTTGTGGTCCAGCAGCAGCACAGGGCTGCACACAGAACAGTTGTTCATGAGGGACATACTGAACAGATGGCAATAACTACAGCTCAAAAAAAATCAAAGAGGAAGTACGTCTTGTCTCTGACCAGCCTCATCAGCACCAGCTGCAGCACCAGCTCAGAAACAACGTCCTGCTACTCACTCTGTAGATCAGGCTGCCCTCGAACTCACAGAGATCCACCTGCCTCTGCCTCCTTCGTGCTAGGATTATAGGTGTGTACCACCACTGCCCAGCTCCAACTAAATATTTTATGAATAATATTTTAAATATGGTTATGATATTGTAGTTGTGTTTTAAAGAAGAACACTTATATTGCATGTTGAAGTATTTGCTGATAAAATGAGATGATATTTGAGATTTTCTTCATAAGAATCCTGAGGAATAAATGTCATAGGTGAAGGCATAAATAAAGATGAGCTATGAGCAGGTGATTATTGAAGCTGGGAAACAGACAGGTAGGGGTTTATTTCACTATCCTGTCATTTCATATTTTGAAATTTTTCTGTAATAAACTTCTCTAACGTCCCCTGAGTGTTTGTGCCAACTATCACTGAAACCATAGCATTAGGAGAGATGTATAAGGTTTCTGGTTGAGTCAAAATGCTTAGTAAATGCTGACTGTGAATAAACTAACAAACAGGAAGAGTGTTTCTTGAAGCAGAGGCCAGAACAGATGGTGGAAAAACCAACTGCACAGGAGAGAGGGACTGCAAGGAAGTCATTACCTGAGACCTTGCCTTCTTGGAGGACCTCGCTGGTGGCTAGAGCCACAAAGATGATCCCTTCATCATCCTCTTTCTCTGTCTCTGAACTGTCACTTTCTTCCTCCTCCTCAGACTCCACAGTTAGTATCACAGCACCTATAAAGGGTAAAGCAGCCACTGGGTTAGCTGCTTCTTGTTACCAAACAACCTGAAGCTAGCTCCTGCCCCCGTCCCCCAGGCAGAGCCCATGTCGGCAGAGCACCTGCATCTTCCTTCAGCCTTTTTGGACACTGGCCGAAGAATGTTGAGCTTGAGGGAAAGGAGAGAAGATTGCATAGCCCAAAGAGACAATCAAAAGGTGCTATGTCCTTAGAGGAAGGCATGAGGGCCATACCTCCCAGCTCTTTCTATTGTCAGCCCCAGGTCAACTGATGACATTAACACCCACAAAACTGGAAGGTCCTTTAACATTCAGTTCACAGGGAAGTAGATTTTGATGATGGACTCTAGGCCTTTGATTCCACCTACCCCAAAAGGCCCAGGCCAGTCTACCCATCTCCATGACCTTTTCCAAGTCCTTAATAGTCATAATCAGCAATCTTGTCATATGTGGTACACTAACTGGAATTATTCCAACACTCACGTGTGCCTATCTAGTCCCTAAGGTGAGGGGCCCAGCTCATAGTGCTGTGTTCCCAGAGGAGACAGGATTTGGATGACAGGCCTTCTCCTTCCCCTCCTCCCTTCCATCCCTGAAGCTCTCTGCTTGCCTGTGTCCTGAAAGCCCAGGTCTCGAGGAGGTTTCCCATTTGTAGCTTCAGGATTAGCCACACCATCCTTCTGGGGACCAGAAAGCAAACCTAAGACTTTGGTCTTGGTTCTGCCACCCATCCACAAACCCTGTAAAATGGCAAAGTCAACAGAACAAGCCTTCCTAACCTTGTGGGGGGTGGTTATCACAACGGTTTTACCACCCCACTATTCCTTGGTCAGCCAGGAAGGAACTGTGGAGTCTAGAGTTACTCACTTCCTATCCAGGGCTCTGGATACATACGCCTGGATTGGCTGAAGAGCTCCTAGAATTGTCTCACCAAGAACTCTGCCCTTTTCCTGTCTGTTGCACCTCTGATAGCAAGTCATCCTATGGCTGAGAGGCTGCCCTCCCTCTGAAGCCACCTCCACCCCACTCTTCAAAGGCCTCAGATAGGCCTAAAAGGAAACCCAAACTGCTATAGTCATCAAACCTCTGAAGATGATTAAACAAAATGTTTCCTTGGGCTGAGTTCCAGTATGTGAGGACTCAGAATTATTTGCTATCAGCCTACGGCCCCATAGGAGTTGTCCCGGAGAAAAGACGCGCCTTCTTGTGGCCAGTCTTGCGGGGTCGAGGTTTGCTCTTGGTGAAACAGATGTTGTGCTTGGTAGACTTAAAGGACTCAAGCCGTCGCTTCATGTTCTGCTGGAAGACCTCCTTGTCTTGTCGCTCCTGTGCATCCTCGGAGATGAAGTGGCGGCCACAGCTAGCTTTGTACTGGCAATGACAGCCCCACCCTACCATGAGGCTGGGTGCCTTGGCCTCCCACAGGAACCCCAAAGCCACAAACCCAACACGTTCATCACAGGTTCTGCCAGTCCATTTTTTTTCCAGAATTAGCCATGGAATAGAAAATAAAAAGTAAAACATACAAAAGGATTATAGCCAGAGTTTTTCACTAAGGAAAAACTTCCCTTTCCTTGGAAATTATTCCTCCAAACCTGGCTTTCCTTGTCCTCTGCTGCCCTTTCCTCTGCTCTCTCTAATCTGAAATGATTAGAGACAGGGATCCTGTACTTTGTTCCCTGGGGATACTATAAAACCACAGAGCCGTATCTTTGGCATATGCATTTATCTCTGTGTGGCTCATACATCCCGTCCACGTATCCCCAAGTAGCTACACAGAATCCTCTTGCCTGCTGTTTTCCTTTTAGACATTTCTACAACTATCACAACACCAGGCCTATGCTTTGAACTTTCCTAACTACCTACCCTAGGTCCTCTTGGTCCCAGAAACTGCATACTTAATTTAGAGCCAACCCTTTATCTGCTGCTTTTAACTCTTTCTCATAAAGACCAAGCCCTTCACACACTTACCCAGCCTGTCTGTTTCTGCTCTCGAGAGCTTAGCAACCTTTTCCTATCTAGTAGAAGTTAGTCACCAAAGTGCTGCCTAGAGCCCTCCTGGTCACTTTATCTTGCCTCATATTCTATCTGGTTCCTCTCTTTTCTTTTTTCTTTTCTTTTCCAGTTTTTCAAGACAGGGTTTCTCTGTGTAACTCTGGCTGTCATGGAACTCACTCTGCAGATCGGGCTGGCCCGAAACTCACAGAGACCACCTGCCTCTGCCTCTGCCTCCCGAGTGCTGGGATTAAAGGTGTGCCATCACTACCTTTCTTATTCCTCATATTTTCTGTTTCTTTGAACCACTTCTGAGAACTCTTGAAGTCTCCCACCTGCCTTTCTTCTTTACCTAAGTGCCTGGAAATGCCATCCCACCTCTGGGACAAAGTGGCCCTGTCTTGCTCAGCTTTGCTCAACTCACTCCTTCCTGCCCCCCTCAGTCTCAGCTCCCTCCTATTTCTCCGCATCTTTAATTTCCTTACCAGTAGCCACTTGACCTCTGCTTTCAGACAAGTTCCTGCCCTTGTTTTTGTTTATTTGTTTTTAAAGTCCTTTCACTGCCACTACTATCTCCCTTTTGAGGTCAAGCGCTTATAAATTGATTGGGATACTTCCTGTCTAATATTTCCTTAAATACCAAAAATGCTATTCAAGTTCCACAAGTCTGCAATGTGACCTTCTCCCTGGTCACCAGTCCTAAAGCCTCTGCCTAGGTACCAACCTGACCTCTGTCTGGCAGCTAGCCCTTCTTCTACCCCAGGAAGAAACACTCCCTGCTATTCCCTCTACAGGGTTCTCTTCTCTCCTTTGCTGGCTCCCTGTTCCTTTCTTCTATGTATACTCCTCTGTGTTATTCTTGGCTCTCCTCTCTTTTCTCTAAACACTCTCCCCAGAGAACTTACACATTCTCTCCACTTCAACTAACCCAGTGACATGAGCTGCAGTTTCAAAACAGCAGGCATCAGACCAGCCGCATCTGAATCATCAGGGGGGCTTATTAAAAACACAGAATCTTAGTCCCACTCCACATTATAGGATCTAAATCTCTAGGAGGTGAAGCCAAAAATATTCCATCAGCTTCTCAGGGAATTCCAGATTGTCAAATGAGGAGACCTCTGCTGTGCGTGCTTCCAAACCTCTCTCCAGCCCCTATCTCTCTCTTAAGCTGTAATTTTAATTAACTACATACTATCTCTAATGCTATTTCTGCAGAGGACATAAAGAATTAGGGACTGTGTCATGGTGTAACTAAGTGGATTCAGAACTAGTTGAATAACCATACCCAAAATGCTCCATCCATGTCAGTCTGGAGGAAAGTCTTTAGTAGCATGCCACAGGGCTCTGTCCTCAGCTCTATCCTGTTCAGTATTTATGATGATTTAGATGAATATAAAATTAACAGGCTTAGCAAGTTTTCAGATGATATGAATCTGAGAAAGAGACATTTGGTGGTAGACATGGGATCCAAATGATGGAATGATGGCCAAATTAAATAAGACAACATTTAGCAAATAAGCACAAACTTACTCTAGTTCTTTTTAAATTGACTATTCAAAAACTGAGTCAAACCCACTGATCAAAGGCTCACACACACACACACACACACACACACACACACACACACACACACACACCCCAATACACACCATATGCTCCCTCTGACGTAACACAATAAGAAGTATATAGCATACCTAAAAGCCCTGAATCTGATCAGGTTCCAGATTTAATAACCAGAAAATATAAAGAAATAGAGTAATGTACTAAATAACACTGGAATACAATCAGCAAAATCTAGAAAAATGGTAACTTCTCCAATATAAAATATCTAGTTTCTTCAATAAATAGCACGGCGGGGGGGGGGGGTAGAAGAAGAAACTACTATAGTTTTTCTTAATGGAGGTCATATTTCCAAGATATAAATTGTGAACATATTTTGGATCTTGAGTTATATACAATAGCTGGAAAAAAACCAGGTATTTATTGAATACTGACTAGGCATTTGATATAAGGAATTATATTATAATAACTATAATAACAGTACAATGCTGGGGAAATCAAACCTGAGGCCTCACAGATGCCAAGTAAATGTTCTACCACTCTCCTATCTCCTTAGCCTAACCTATTTTTTAAAGTTCTTGCTAGCTGGGGTGGTGGTTCACACTTGTAATCAGAGTACTTGGAAGGCTGAGGCAAGAGGATGCCCAATTTGATGCCAGTACTAGGGCAGCTTGCAAAACTATGTCTCGAAGCCAAAATTTAAAAATAAAATAAAACAAACAAAGAGTTCTTGCCATAAACTGAGATATTCATAGATGATGTGATACAATGTCTGGAGTCTGCTGTAAGATAAAGTGTGGGCAGGGTATGATGGGTTATAGACCATAAAAACTTAATCATGCACAGATAATTATTAGAGTTGGGTAACAGATAAATGAGAGTTATTTCATTCTCTCCACTAAAATTTTGCAAAAGGAAAACATTAAAAGGAAAAGAAAAGTTGTATGAGGTGGGTTTGACAGCCATTAACTGAGGAAGACATGAGGGGTTGGCAGTGTGAAGACAGTATGAAGTCCTAGATTGGTGAGCCAAACCAGAACAGAAATCCTGGGCAGCATTAATAGCAAGTCTAGAACTGGGAAAGTTAGCAAGCCCTTATAACTTGCCCTAGACAGCCACCTAGTAGTTCCTTATGGGGTGGAGGAGGAGGGGCTGGCTTCTCATGGCCAAAGACACACCAGAATAGAAGAGGGTACTGGAGTAAGAGGGCCTGTGTGAGTAAAGCCGCCTGGAAACCTGCAGAAGCTTGCTCTGCAGAACTGGAAATTGAAGAGAGGTACATGTAAATTACTCAATGTTCTGAAAGCCTTGCCTTAGTACTGGGTGAATAACAGGCCCATAATAATGGCCTGCTGCCCCCTTGTGGGGTTACAGAAGATCTTCTCCTCGGTGGGCCTCCCATACTCAAAGCTTCAAAGCTCCCTAGTTTGCACAGGGCTAATCCACCTCTCTCCCCTGCTTAACTGGTTCCAAAGGCCTTCTCAGGTCCCTGCTTCCATCTCTGACCTGCTTCTCAAAGTTCCTTCTCCTCTACCTCTTCCCCTCCCTTAGGGGACATTGTCCATGTCCTGTGTACTCTTCTCCTTCTTAACACCCAGTTTCTAATCCAAAGTGTTTCCTGCTAGAGTCCCAACTGGTTCAGCTCTCAACTCATGCCTTTGAATATGATGTACAGCCTGCAGTACCTCCTCCAAATCATTAACAAGAGCAAAGGACAAAACCCACAGCCTTCAACTGGGCATTCAAAACTGGATGCAAGCTGGTACCAAGTGCCTCTTTCTCTTAAGTCTGTGGTCAAGGCCTCCGAAGTCCACTCACCACCACCCTCAGAACTCTCACGTCCAGCAGGCTCTCACCCTACGTCGTGGTTTGTATAGGCCTCCGCAGAGCAGATGGTGCATCACAGCGTCTTCCCGGTCCCGGCCACTGCGTACTGTGTCAATCACCTGCAGATCCAGACACGCTCCACTGCCACTCTCCCTCCTGCAGGAGGCAGAGACATGTGTGCTAGGGAGTGGGCAGCATGGGTGAGGGGTAGGGCAGAGGCAAAGGTGCTAACAAATCTTCCCCAGAAGGGATCTGGGGAGAAGAGCTTGAGGAAGGGGAAGGGCCCTCATGGACTCACAACAGGTTGGTGACAGAGGTCTCTGCCACAGAATTTCTGCTAGGCATAGAGGGTAGAGTAAGTCCTGTGGAGGACAAGACGTGGCCTCCCTGTAGGAGTCAAGACTGAGGTCAGACAAAGATCAGATGAAGGGGGCCAGACAGAGGGTAATAAAGAGAATAACATGCATTAACAATTATTTCGATCACTCTATTTTGTTTAGAGCGAGTGCCGGAGATTATTCAAGCTCTTAAACTATGCAAGTACTGAACCATTGAGCTACAGCTCCAGGCATTATTTTGTTCTGAAACACTTCACATACTGAATTCTTAAAATCTAACCTAGGTACCACCTATTCTTGTTGCTACTTTCTTCTCACTGAGGAAACTGAAGCTCAAGGAAAATAAGTAACGTATATAAACATCAGCCTATACATGATAACAGTTGAACTGTCTGTTGACTCCAGAGTCCAGCTGCTTCCCACCTTTCTGTACTGCCTGCCAGACTCTGTCAACACCAGGCTGGCTCCAGCAGCTGTGACTTCACAACACCCCAGACTCAGCTGGGAATTCCAACTCCCTGGCCCCTGCTAACAAGCCTGCCTGCCTGTCATCCCTTACTGGCCTGCTCTGCTGACCACCTGTCTATCCACTGCTGGCCTACCTGGTAACTGCTGGCCCACCTGGTCCACAAAACTGATGGCATCTCTGATGTTGAGTCTGTAGTACACATCCCAGATCTGGTCTCTGATACGATAGGCTGACCGCCGCATCAACAGCTGACTCAGATACTTCTTGTCAAATTGTTCCCACCTATAGAGGATGCCAGGCCCAGCCCTGAGTACCATTCTCAAGGTGCGGCTGGCTGGCCCTTCCTCAGACAGGGCAGGGACACTGCCAGCACTGGCCTGGCTTTCTTGGTATGAGTGTCAGCCAAGGAGAATCCTAAGGCTAGGCCCTGCTCTTACAACCTTTACAGTTTTAGGAGAGAATCTGATATTAGTTAAAAGCTATTCCAAATAACTGTAAAAATTATAACCATGACAAAAACTACCAAGGATAATTAAAACCGAGATTTGTTCTTGTCAGGGAGGCCAAAGGTCTCTAAGGAATCAATGCCTGTGGTTAGAGCTGAAGGGTGATTCAAGTCTAAGGAAGAGCGAGGTGAGGCAGTGTTCTAGTAGAACATGTGACTTGGACCAAATGGTAGACTCTGAGGCTCTAAGTATGGCCTGTGTAAATATCAGGCAGACCATCAAAAACAGAACAGTGCATAACGGGGCTGGAGTCTGGCAAGTGCCGGACCATGCAGGGTCTGCAAGCCACCCTGGGGAGCTTTGTCTTATCCTGAGAACACTGGGGTGCCATTGAAGGGCCTCAGGCAAGGTCACCCAGCCTGAACCTGGCTGTGTCCCTTCTCAGAAGGGTGGCATATCCCCCATGCTGCCCTGGCTGGTAGGGCTACTGCTGCTGAAGGAGCCTCGGGGCAGCTCCCTCACCTGTCCCTCCAGTAGTGGTAACCATGGTGCCCCACAACGTCCTCCACTGCAGCCAGAATGTGGTCAAAAGTCTAGAATGGGGGTGGGTAGGGGGACTGGATCAGGACTCTGCCAACATAGGAGAAGGGAGAAAGGGCAGGTATGGGGCTGGGGTTCTGGTACCCACGTGCTCATGCAGCTCCTGGTTCAAGGTGGGTTTGTGATGATCACTCCTCTTCACCCTCAGCCACTTGACCAGTGGCTTGATGGTCAAACCCTACAAACAGGCAGGAGGTGAGCCCTGCCCTATTCCATTCCCTGCAGTCTTTCTCTCAACAATTAGGCCTCAGCTCTACCTTTACCCATTCTACTCAAGGTCTGAGAAGTCAGGTCCTTGCCTCCCCCAGTGGAAAGGGAAGCCCCAGTCCCAAAATGTTTCAAGATTCTCCCAGGGCCTGATGACCCTCTCCCCACCTAGCCTCCTGGGCACTCCCACCTGCACAATGACGGTGAAGAAAACCACCACAATAGTGGTAGCCACAAAGTAGTCCTTGGCAGGGACCTTGGTCCTGTCCAGTAGGATGACGAGAGCAAAGGCCACAGCCCCCCGAAGGCCCCCATAGGACATCACCACCTGGTCGATCTTGTCCAGAGGGACCAGCCGGAACTGATTCAGCACCCACGTCTGCAGGACTACGCCTACAGCAGGAGGGAGGCCAGTAGGAGCAAGGAGTTGGGAGTGGAGGACACTGGGAATGGATGGCACCAAGCATCTGGACTAAGGTCTGGCAGGGTTTGGGACAGGTGAGCATTGAGGGGAGTTTAAGAATTAGCAAGGATGTGGACTGGGATTGAGGGATGAGTAGTGGGAGGAGAGGGGAAAGAAAAGGGACAGGGAAAAGAGCAGTGAATCAGAGGGTGTCAGCAATACCGAGGGCTCGGAAGAACAGGATGAAGAAGAGGGTGCCCAGCACCAGCCCAGAGTCCCAGGCCCATTTGGAAGAGTCCACGGCTGAGATGCCAAGTAGCATGAAGATGACTGTTTCAGCACAGCTAGCAAGGGTTTTCATTGTATACTTGACAGCTGTGCGTGACTTATGGGAGATGTTGGCTTCCACGTATTTCTTACATCCTAGGCCACACATGGTCACCCTGGGAGAGAAACAAACTGTAAGTGAGGAAGGACCCAAAGGCTCAGTCTCTCTCAAGCTTGAGCATACTGCAGGCGAGGGTGCTGCCCATCACAGTGTATCAGATTTTCCAGGCAAAAGCTCAGGAAGGCATGAAGATTGCCAATTAGTGGCAGTGCTGGGATGAATACAGATCTCCAGGCTCCCCACTTAGTGCCTCTTGCTCTGAGTAGCAAACCCTCTGAGGCATCCTTTAGGATTCTATACACACAGAAACCAGTGGTTTCAGGCCTTGAAGTATACTGGCAGCTTAGCCTGCACTTCAGGTAGAGGAAGTGAGCCTTCAGGTGCCCAGACAGGTCAAGAAGACAACCTAAGGTTTTCTCTCCTCTGAGGAGAATCCGAGGTGTCCACTACCACAAGGACTCACTGACACCTACAGAGTCATTAAGCTCTTGCTTCTGGCCATATAAAGTGTGACTATTTCCAGTGCCCTTTCCCGGTTGCCTGCCTGTGATATCCCCAGGACTCACGCAAGAATGGCAGACAACGAGGCCATTTCAGCAGTGAGGTAGGCTGCATAGGCGAGGAGGAAGACCAGCAACGGCTCGATGATGCGGACCCGCTTGGTGAAGCGTGTGGTCAGGGCCAGGAGGAAGGCAAAGACTAAGCCCACGGCTGCCCCGCCCAGACTGACCACAAACAGGGAGGCTGGGGGAGGAGTGGGTTATCAGCATGACCCCTGGCCCAGACCCTCCCCAGCTGGGCTGACAGGACTGAAGCCTAGCAAGTAGTAGAGGAAGGTACCCACCACACTCCCTGGGGCTCAGGATTCCAGACTAGGATCCTGGGGCAAGCTCCTCCCAGACCCCATTCCTCCATGGAGGAGAGTAAGAAATGAAGCAATCAGAATAGCCTCCTGTGTCATGATGCTGGGTAGGTGGGTCTCAACAACCCAGGGAAGGCAGACATTGAATGCTGGCCAAGTTTGGGGAAATACTGACCGATTCCCTTTAGGTAGTCAGTGGCCTGCACATTGGCAGAACCCATCTCTACAAAGGAGTTGCAGACCTTGTACAGCACCTGAGTGACAAGAGGAAAGTCAGGATGTAGGAGGAGGCCACAGAGGGGAAGTGGGCTGTAAAAGAAGAAAGCTCAGATCCTATTTCCTCCCCAGCAGGGCTAAGGGGAAGGGTCTGAGGCTGATCAGATACCCAATGGGCAGAGCATGACAGCCTAGGGTTAGGGGTTGGCAGTCCCCTTATACATCCTCACCACAGTGACTGCATCATTGAGCAGGGACTCGCCAAAGACGATGATAAAGAGAGTCTCGTTGACGTGCACCTCCTCAAAGACAGCCAGCACAGCCACAGGGTCCACCGCCGAGATGAGGCTTCCAAACAGCAAGAAGTCCAGCAGGCCAGCCTGTACCCTAGGGGCTATCAGGGAAAAACAGAAGACAGGACGGATTAGTGAAGATGACTCTGCCTCCAATAGTGCTCCTTGTGACGGTGAAGAAATAAACCCAAAGGGAATTTGGAAAGACTGCTGGCTTGTATCCCGGAGGCTAAGCTGCCTGTGCCTAAGACCTGGCTTTGCAATCACCAGCAATTGTGATACGGGCTCTTGTCAAAGTGACATGACTTCTCTTAGCCAGACCTCCTCATCTGCCTAATTCACAAGATGTCTGCAGAGCCATTCAGGTGGTGCTGGTAATAAAAACCACAGCAACAGTAAAAGTAGCTGCCAGCAGGTAGAATTGGCTGCTGACTGGCTTTACTACCCATATAACAGGAAACGGTTTCTCCCACACCTGCGGTTCTCGGCCAAAGGGATGCAGCATATACACAATTCTCATCAGGAAAGGAAAGTCTGAACACAGTATGAAAAGTACCATAGGTGGGACCTGAATATGTCAAACAGCCCTGTGATCCCCAGTTTTCCAATACACAAAATGGAAATAAGAATATCAACCTCAAAATGTTTTTTATTTAGCTAGTGCCTAATAAGTGATAAGGAGCCAGACCACCTATTATTAGAATTACTACTTGATAAGAATCTGAGGTCCTCCTTTTCCTTCCTGCCCCAAATAGTTCACTTTTTATTAAGAAAACAAGACTGGAGGCCCCAGCTGGGAATTGCAAGCTTCTCCTTTTCACCTTAGAAGTCTGAATTTCTAGTATCGGGATTGAATGGATTTCTTGAGTCAGGAAATAGGGTGGGAGAGGACCTAAATGCAGAGCCTCAATAAAATGGTACCAAATGAATATAAGGGGCTCTATTTTCCCTTCCATTAGCTGGGGAAAGTAGGGGCTGGAGAGATGGCTCAGTGGTAAAGAGCACTGACTGCTTTTCCAGAGGACCCTGCTTCAGTTCCCAGAATCCACATGAAGTTCCCAACTGTCTGTAACTCTAGTCTGTGACACCTTCACACATATATCATATATGCAGGCAAAAACCAATGTATATAAAATAAATCTTTTTTAAAAAATGAGGTAAGAGTCAGGTGTTGGTGGCGCACACCTTTAATCCCAGCACTCAGGAGGCAGAGGCAGGTGGATCTCTGTGAGTTCGAGACCAGCCTGGTCTACAAGAGCTAGTTCCAGGACAGCCTCCAAAACCACAGAGAACCCTGTCTCAAAAAAAAAAAATGGTAAATTATACCTCACCAGAGTTTTTACAAGGAGACAATGCCTAGTACAGAAAGAATAGGAAAGAATGCCTAGTATAGAAGTTAGCATTTTGTGGATTAAAATATGTATTTATTAGCAATAAAAACTAGAAACAACCTGGCATAGTTTGGACATATCCAGAAGTGTGCATCCTTACAGGAATTGGTGAGCTGTACCTCAAGGAAGCAGGGCTGGCAAGTGGCAGTGTGGTGACAGAGGGCAGGAGGTAAGAGAGTGCTGCTGTAGGCTCCTGCACTTCAGCAGCCCACACACAGCTGGGAACCAGGCCCCTGCTCGGCTGTTATGCTGCAGAGGCACAGATCCAACTGGCAGAGACCAAAATTAGGACTGAAGTCTATCTGGAGCACTGCCATGCACTCCAGGTGGATGGACCTGAAACCAAGCTCTTAGGGAGCTCACCAGCATCTGACCTTCAGGGCTGAAGAAGGGAGTTAGGAGGTGGAGCTAGCAAGGGTTTTTTTGTTTTTTGCTTTTTTTTTTTTTTTAAGCCCAAGTCCTAGAGTTACTCACCCACAAGTCCAGCCTGCTGCAGGCCCCAAAGGGCAACACCTGTTGTGAAGGCATTCCAGAGTGTGCCCACTACAGCATAGGTGAGGATGGCACCCAAGTTGTCAAAAAACAGCCGGCTCGGCATGAAATAGCCTGAGTCTAGCACAATAGGAGGGAGCAGGAAAAGGAAGAAGGTCCCTGGCTCCAGCTGGTACTCAGCCTTCTTGGCCACAGCTAAGACAATGCCTCCCAGCACCAGGCCCAGCAAAATCAGCAAGCAGCTCTCAGGGACCAGAGATGTTACCTTCCGAGACAGGTGAAACACTGTAATGTAAGAAGAAGACAACAGGTATGAAGCCATGGAATATCCTTCCTAGGACCAATGGAAGAAGAAACAAAATATAGACTCTCTAGAATCCCCAACCTCCAAGGCTACAAACTCTCTGTGGCTCCAAGGCTTTTCTTGCCTTTCACCTTCTGCTTTCTGAAAATGCCCCTTCCTCTGTACTGCCATCCTCAGGAACTGACCGTATCTTTCTCTGACCTCCCTTATCCATAGCAATCATCTGAAGTTAAACAAATGATCCATAAGCAATCATCTGAAGTTAAACAAATGCTAACCAGTCTCTCTGTATCATGCATAAAATCGCTGGAAAAAATATCAAGGCAGGCTGGAGAGATGGCTCAGAGGTTAAGAGCACTGGCTGTTCTTCCAGAGGTCATGAGTTCAATTCCCAGCAACCACATGGTGGCTCACAGCCATCTGTAATGAGATCTGGCACCTCTTCTAATGTGTAGACACTATATACATAATAAATAAATAAATCTAAAAAAAAAAACAAAAACAAAACAAAACAAAAAACAGGAGCGCAAAAGCCAAGCTGCTTGGGTTTGAAGACTAGCACCTCCATTTACTCATTCTTTGATTCTCAATTTTCTCATCAGCAAAATGGGAATGAAAACAATAATGATCAAATAAGTTGGTTGTAAAGATTAAATAAAATGACCTACTTATGAGCACTTAAAGCTGGGCCTGGGAGGGAAGACAAGGATCAATTTAGCAAGCTTGTCTCAAAGTCAGGACACAGCTCAATTACAGAGCACTGGATGGCAAAGCATATCCTACCACTTATGAGGTTCTAAATTCAATCTCCAATAATTGATTGTGGAGCAGACAACCAAGTACAGTGGCACATACCTGTCATCCCAGCACTTGGAAGGCTGAGGTAAAAGGATTGCTGTGAGTCAAAGTAAACCTGGGTTATGGTGTTTTTTAAAGATTCATTTACTTTTATTTTATCTGAATGAGTATTTGCTTGCATAAGTATGTATGTAAGTGCATCATGTATGTGCCTGGTGTCTGAGGAGGCCAGTAAAGGGTGTTAGATCCCCTAGAACGGCTGTTACAGGCAGTTGTGAACTACCATGTGTGTACTGGGAACCAAACTGGAGTCCTCTGCAAGAGCAGCCAATGTTTTTTAACTTCTGAGTCATCTCTCCAGCCCCTCAACCTGGTTTATATAGTTATTTCAAGGCTAGCCTGGACTTTTTCTCACCTCCCTAAAAGCAAAAACAAAAAACAAAAAAATAAAAGCACTTACTTAGCATATTGACTTGACTTATAGTAAGCACTCCATAAATTTTGCTATTAATATAGCATGATCCATGTTAATATAGTATTATACTATATACACATATACGCACATGCACACTTAGCTCCTTTTAGAAGCACTGTAGGTCTCCCAACCTAATGTACATATTTCATTATATTGGCTCAGTTTAAAAAGCTTTGTGTAGTCAGTCAGTGGTGCATGCCTTTAATATCAGAACTTGAGAGGCCAGCCTGGTCTACAAATTGAGTTCTAGGACAGTCCCACAGAGAAACCCTGTCTCGAGAACCAAAAAAATAAAAATAAAATAAAAAAGTAAAAGAAGAAAAGGATTGCCAACATTATTTCTTCTCCTCCTTTGTCCCTAAAATATGGTTCTCCCTTGGGTTCTCAGACCATGCCCCATACAGTCTCTCAGGCACTGGTAGAGGAAGGATTCTTATTAACCTGAGTTCCAGTGCCAAAGCAATGCCCTTTGGAAACTGCATCCACAGGGCCTAAGACTACCTAGCATACAGTGAACTCTACATCAATATGATTTGAATGAAAGGAGGGAGGACATTCTAGCTATTAAACTGGAAAGTGTTCCAGAACACACTGCTTATCTTTCCCCTCCTCTCTGAGATCTTTTTTAGCTGGAGAGGATAACCTCTCCTTCCTCTCTAGAAGGTGTTATCCAATTCAGAAAAGACACTACTTATCTATGATGTTGATGCTGTAAACCTTAAGATGGGAACTCTTCTACAATCCATGGACTTTTCAGCAAACCCAACCTGAAGCTTCTCCCTCCACCTTGCTGCCCCTGCTGCTGAACCTCTAGAGTAAGTTCAGGCATACATCTTCCTACCTTCAGCCCCATCCTTGATTCCCTTCTCCTCCCCTGAGCCCCAGCCCTGCAAATTCAGGACCTATCAAAAAGTCAGTTCTCTGGCAGAATCAGGTTCTCTGAAGATAGAGTTCCATTTTCCATTATCATTCCTTGGCTGCCAAGGTGGAGTGGAGAGTTCTATTCCAGCTCCATTATACTCTATACCTCAACAATATCCCAGGAGGAGAAGGGGGGCCAACTCTAGGTTGTGAGATTCCTACATGAAGGCTTCATTAGTGAGACTGGAGTACAAGCTGTGCCAGCATAGATGGAGAGTGAGTACCAACGCTCAGCTATAATTAGTCACCCCCACAGCAGAGCTTTAACAACAGAGAGAAAGGAGGAGGGTCTCGGTTGGGAGGGAGACTACTGTCAGAAAGGGGAAGAGGCAAGGCAAAGCATCTCTAACGGGGGATGTGTGAATCGGAGGCACAGCTTTCAATGTGAGGACTGGAAGAAGTCGAATATATGAAAGCGCCCAGGGTAGTCAGAACACAGTAAAGACCCATTAACGTGTAAGTTTCTTAAACCTCGAAGAGAAGACTATGAATTGGAGGGTGGGGTCGCACCAAGATGTAAGAAAAAGTGGGGTAGAGAGATAAGCTACAGGAAAAGTGACAGGTTGGTATCTCAGGAGATATTAAATCTCAGGCTCTCGGTCAGAGAAGGATAATTTCTCGGAACCAGAATGCCTAGGTTCCCAGGAGAACCTAGGACATTGAAGAGATGATTTTATCATCTCTTCAATGTCCCCGTAAGTCCTCATTGCTGACAGGTTTCTTAGAGGCTGGACGTCTGGAGGAGAGGCCTTACGAAGAAGGCTATCTGCAAGGGGAAGGGAAAACTGGGGAAACAGTCCAAAGATGGAGCTGAAGAGAGCAGCGACAGGCAGCCCTTTAGAAAGGCAAATCCTCTCAACTACCAACCCAGAAGGGGAGGAGGGAGACTCACAAGAGGCGCAGGAATTGGGTGAGAACCGAGATTTGTGGAATTCGAGCCTAAGTCCCCGCACAGTGCTAGATGCAGGACTGGATCTGAAGACCCAGGGATTTGGAGGCGGGTCCGCTGCGGGCAGCTGGCCTGGGTGCGGGCGCTCGAACACAAACACACACTCACCGATTTTAGCCAGGCTGGCCACCAGGATCCACAGGGCCACCAGGTAGGGCGCCTCCACCTCGTGCCACTGCCAGCGGAAGAGCGCCAAA